CTCTAACACTGGTCACTATGATAGGGCCCATTCTAGTGATGTCACCCTCATGGGATTAAACTGCAAAGGCCCTACCTCTAGATGCCACATGCATGGGTACCAGGAGTCAGGCCTTCAGCAGAACTTGGGGGGTCACTGTGCAACCCACCTGACACTAAGACAGTGCCTTGCAGTGGTCTTGGCCAGCTGGCTGTGTAGATGGCATTGGGCAGGGATTCCTGGGTGAGACGCCTAACTGGTTGGGTGACCTTGGGCAAGTCCTCATGCCTGTTTACCCCATATGCCTACTTCAAGAGGCTTCGGGAGGGCTAGAGCAGCACCAAGTGAGTACTCAGCCTGTTTGGTATGCCATGTCCCCACTGGCTCCTGCAGAAACAGACGAAATCCAACCACCTGAGGACCCAGCAGGCAGAAGTCTAAGAGCTAGAGCCAAGTAGATCCCTCTAAACCCACCTTCCAGAGTTGTCTAGCCTGCACCAAGTTTTTGGGGGATACCTGGTCCTTCACAGGCCCTGTGCTCAAGAGACTAAATGCCCTGTGCAGCCAGCAGCAGTGACCTGACCCCGTGGGCCTTCCACTCCATGCTGAACCAAAGGCTGATCTTGAGAGGCCCCTGCCTTTTTGGTCTTTCTGTGGTGCTGGGAATTGAACCCAGGGCCGTGGCACATGCTAGGCAAATACTCAACCACTCAGCTATGTTTTTACTTTTCAAGTTCTGAGACAGGGTCTATTAAATTGCCCTGGCTGCCCTTGAACTCACTATGTAGGGCAGGCTGGCCTTGAGCTCATGATCCTTCTGCCTCAGCTGGGGATTACGGGCCTGCACCACTACACCCAGCTCTAACAGCCCTTCAAGGGGCCAGAAGGACCAATTCTTGGGACCACTTCTGGCCTGGATACCACCCTGTGCATCTGGAGCTGTCTACGCCCTGGCTGCCCCTCCAGGGCTCTCATGTTTGTTAGAAAGTTGTGAACAATCTCCAAGTCTTCTGTGTCCACACCCTCCCTCCTCAGCCCCTCCCTCCTCAGCCCCTCCTGTCATTTGGGTCGCTTCCTCTGAGAAGCCTTTGCTTCTGGCTGGCGCCCCATCACTGTTGCTTCCTTTTGTCACTTGGTCATGCGGCCTGCTCCCACCTGCCCCTGCTCCCATCTCCCTACTTCTAGAAGCGTCAGGGCTTCCAGTGGAAGGGATGCTGGAGGTGAGTTTCCATAGGTGTGGCCAGTAGTTGGCAGCACAGCACGTTGTAGAACCTACGAATATCTCAGGTTGGCTCTTGTCTGTAGCTGGTGCAGAAGAGCCCACAAAGGAGGTGTCCCTATAGGGGCAGGTGCTAGGTGTGCTATGACAGGTATTGGGCGTGGAGCCAGATTTTGACCCTGGCAAGCAAGGGAATGTGCAGGTACCTAGTGGGTACTCTGGCATTAAACTTTTATTATTTTTTATTTTACATGTGAGTGTTTTGTCTGCATGTTTGGTATGTAAGTGTACCCATGTTGTGCAATGCCTATGGAGGCTGGAAGGTGTTGGGTCCCTGGAACTGGAGTTATGGACAGTTGTTAGTTGCCATGTGGGTGCTGGGAACTGAAACCAGGTCCTCTGCAAGAGCAGCCAATGCTCTTAACCATTAAGCCATCTCTCCAGCCCTGTACTCTGGCTTTTTCTAATTTGAGTGCCTGGTCTAGAATTCCCCAGCAGAAACGTGAGTAGGAACCCCAGTCAGTCTCATGATGAGCAGCTCTGTGGAACCGCAAGATATCTGCCGCCTGTCTGTGCTGTGGACTGCTGGTACCCACACACTACCATCTTCATCAGAGCAGCAGACTGACTACCTGCAAATGGTTCTCCAGATCCTGCCTGTTGATGTTCCACCACAGGAGGGAGCAGGGAGGGTTAGACCCTGGCCTGAGATCCCATCCAGTCCCTCCTGTGCCTCCCAGCTGTGTGTGCCTCTCTGACTCTGTCCTGGCAGCACATGGTCCTGAGAAGTGCTAGTATATGCCAGGCAGAAGGTTAATGAAGGAGGGGACCCCATTCATACATCTACAGGGAAATCACCATGCTCGAGTGAACTTTTCAGGGATGTGGCTGCTTTGGGGCTACCCATATGCCTGTGGCCCGGTGAACGTTCTGGCTTGGCCAGCTAGATTCCATGGAATCCCTACTTTGGTTTGTCACTGGTGCCCTATCTGGTCAGTTTACGACTTTCAGGGAGAGTCCAGGCAACAGTCTGTCAACGAACCTCGGTAATAGGCTGAGAATGGTGGCTCTTGACTGTAATCCTGTCACTCAGGAGGCTGAGGCAATCCACAAGTTCCAAGCCAGCTTGAGCTAGTTTGACTCTCTCAAAACAAATTAACAAAATTAGGTAGCAATTCTCATGTGCCTGGCTGAGACTTTTCTGTCCTCCAATATAGCCTTGAACATTCTATTATTTACTTACAGTGTCTCCCTGTAGCCCCAGCTGGCCTAGAACTCACTATATAGACTAGACTGGCCTCAAACTCAGAGATCTGCCTGCCTCTTCCCCAAATACTGAGATTAAAGGTGCACACTGCCATTCCTGGCAACTTGAACTCATTAAAAAAAACCATTTTATTTTATGAGTGTATTGCCTGCATGCATGTCAGTGCACCCAAGTTGTGCAATGCTTGAGGTCAGAAGAGGGCGTAGGATTCTCTGGAATCGAGGTTATGGGCAGTTGTTAGCCACCATGTAGGTGCTGGAAATTGAACTGAGGTCCTCTGCAAGAGAAGCCAGTGCGCTTAATATTTTTTTCTTTTTGAGACATGGTCTCCCTGTGGCCTCAGCTGACCTGGAACTCACTATGTAGACCAGCCCAGCCTTGATTTCCTGCCTCTGCCAAGTGCTGGGAATAAAGGCGTGATAATGCTTCCACTTTTAGTGGACACAGTAACTGTACATGATTATGGGGCATAGGGTGACATTTTGATGCATGTACACTGCGTGTAGTGACCCATCACCCCAGGCATTTTTGTGTTAGAGCACCAAAAATTCTGTTATTTTGAAGTACTGACTTCCATCAGCCTTGGTTGCCCCACTGAGTGTCCTTTGGTTGTTGGCTCTTATGTCCCTTTGCCTCAGTCCTGCTAGTCAAAGCACCACTGTGGCATCTGCCACACAGGGCAATGGTGGCCAATGGCTGTCTGCCTCCGGTGGCTGCTAAAAGCAAGTACCACAGGGGCCTGCAATACCAGGATTGCATTCTCACAGTAGAACCCGGGGAGGGGGGCACCCGCCTTTCCTTCCTCTTTTAGCACCTGGGGGCTGCAGGCATCTCTGCCTGTGGACTCCTTTGCGGGCACACATGGGCATCCCTCTCCTCTTAATGGACATCGACATCAGTCATACTGGACCCACACACACTCTCTCCCAACATCACATCTTGTGTGGTCAGGTAAGAGACCAACACCAGAGGCAGACACTGGCAGTGTGCAGGGTTCTATGTCACTCAGGCAGAGCTGCCCTGTCCCTGGGTCTTGTGTCCTTTGGCCAGACTCCACCGGTTTCTAGTGTTCCTTTCTGAGTACAAGGAGGCCCAGAGGATACCACTTCCCATGACAGTGACCACTGCTGCAGGAGAGGGACAGTGCTTAGAGCTCAGGCTGCTCCACAGCCTGCTGCCCTGCTCTTCCACCTTCCGCATCCACACAGCCCACAGCCGCCCATTGAAGCCGCCGCCTACCTGCTCCAGGAGCCCGCTTGTCACTTGTGTCTCTACAGGAAATTCTTGGCTACTGTCACCAACACCTGGGGTGTGGCTCTGGGGTCTCACCCAGCACATGAAGCCTGCTGCCTGTTTCATCCCTCTGCATCTCTGTGGCTGAGATCCACAGCAAGCTCGCCTCGGCTGGAGCCACACTCTTCTTAGCAGCCTGCAGCCTCTTCAGCCCCCATTCCTCTCTGGGAGTCTGTCTCTGTCCCTCCTGGAGGACATAGGTGGGCCTGAGATGCCTCTAATGGGAGGCCCAAGGAGGGGCTGTACTGATCAGAGGCTGCACCCTGGAAGGCCCTACAGTGCCCCTTTCCTCTCAGGACACCCCTGTGGAGCCCCAGCTGCCATGTCCTGAAGGATGAGGCCCGGCAGCCCCGGCCCCAGCCCCCACACAGACACAGCACACAGATGAGCCTGTCAGACTATGCCTGTAAGATTATGAGGCCCGGCACCCCTGGCCCCGGCCCCCACACAGACACAGACACAGACATAGACGAGCCCATAGGACTATGCCTGTGAGGTTATGTGGCCTCCTGCTATCCACTGCTGCTGCAGGCCACAGCATGGGCCTGTGGCAGCTACCCAGGCTGGTGTGTCTCCAGTACAGTTCCCAACAAGCCTGACCAAGGAAAAGGAGCAACGTGTCTAGAGCCAATACCAGCACGCTCCTCGTGAGCTGGGCCACCTGGAACCGGCGCCTGCCCTTGGTCCCCCTGAAGCCCATCGTTGCAGGTGTGAGGCAGCTTCTGGCTGCTGCCCACACCCTCCTCAATCAAGGAAGGCCAGGCATGCTGAGCAGGGGTGGGGGTGGGGCAGACACGTTCCTGATGCTGGACCTGGACACCAACGTCCTAGGGCCTGAGATGCCTTATCTCAGAGGCCAGCGGTGTCGACCTGGGCTCGCTGTGGCCAAGGCAGTCCTGGGCAGCTTGCCAGAGGCTCACCCTGCAGAGCCACTGTCCTGCAGCCACCCAGTCAGTTGCTCTGGGAATGCTGCAGTGTGTGTTCATCTGAGCCAGAAGGGCAACTGAATGGCCTTTGTCTGGGGCTCGGCCAGGCTGAGCCAGCCCTTTTCCTATTCAAAAACTCCAAATGCGCCAGCACAGCAGAGATTAGCCTGGCCAGTGTGAGAGAATTCCCCAGGCAGGCTGGTGAGGGTCTCCACTGAGCAGGCCGCCTAAGTTGGAAGCTGCTGACCAGGCACTGGGAGGCCAGTTCCCAGCGTACTGAGAGAGCAGGGCAAAGGCGGGGAAGGCAGCACGGGCCTCACGGGTCAAAGGATTTATTATCTACATCTCAAAAGGAGCTGCTGGAGGGCTGTTGTAAACAAGACCAGAGCAGGGCCGGCGCGTGGGCGGGGCCTCAGTCCAGGCGGCCCAGCCGGGTCACTGGAGGCTGCCATTCTGCACCATCTGCAGATACTCCTTGTGGAGCTTCTCCTGGGTGTCGAAGAGCTTCTTTAGTTTCTTGGCCTGCCCCTTGCTCAGCTCCTTGCCCTCGGTGTCGTGGGTGGGCAGACCCTGCAATGACAGAACAGACTATGGGTACCAAGGTCTGGCCTCCACTTCCTCCTGCCAGGAGGCCCTTCTCTACCCAACGGGCCATATCTAGACTTGCGGACAGCAGCAACACTCTTTTTGCTTTAGGGTTTAGAAAAAAAATTATTCTTATTTTACGTGTGGGGGTGCTCTGCCTGCATGTAAGTGCACCCGTGCTATACAATGCCTGCAGAGGTCAGAAAAGGGCGTTGGATCCCTTGGAACTGGAGTTACCAATGTTGTCAGCCACCATCCAGGTAGGAGCTGGGAACCGAACCAGGTCCTCTACAAGAGCAGTCAGTGCTCTTAACCACGGAGCAGCTCTCCGGTCTATGTGTTTTTTTTTTTTGTTTTTCTTTCTTTCTTTTTTTTGGAGACAGGTTCTTACTATGTAGATCAGGCTAGCCCCAAACTAACCCTAACCCTAACCCTAACCCTAACCCCAAACTCTGCCTGCATCTGCTTCTCAAGTGCTAGGATTAAAGGCATGTGCCACTATGCCTGGCCTATTTTCAGAATTTTGAAACGGACAGGTCTTACAATGTAGCCCAGGCTAGCCTCAAACCCAAGCTCCTTCTGCCTCCATCTCCCAAGTGCTTGGATCACAGGTGTGTGTCATCACGACCTGTGTGTGGCCATTTGGTCACTGCCCAGCCAGGTCCAGCAGATGTGGCAGTGGAGCACTAGCAGCTGAGAGCTGGAAGAAGGGACAGGAGCTGGCCACGGCCCTGCTCAGGTGAGCAGCAAAACCCCACTAGCCTGCAGCGGCTTGGCTCTGAGGTGGCCAGGCAAAGTTTGCATCATGAATCTAAGAGCCAATGGGTTCACACCTAACGTTTGGAGCAGAGCTGGGGAGAGGAAGGGCTATGACTTTGGGTGGCTTGGGAGGGTCCCCAGAGAATCTGCAGATTCCCTTTTCTGTCACCTTAAACTGGGCCTGGGGCCACAACCTCCAGGGCCAGGGCCAGAGCTGACGTCACTGGTGGAGACAGTGTGGCTCAGCCTTTCCCCTAACAGGAGCTGGATGGTTCCAGCTGCCCTTACAAACCTCACCCAACAGGAAACACACTGGCCCATGTCTGAAGACCTGGAATCTCCAGCTCGGAGGGTATGGGCCAGCAAGTTCTGGAAAGTAGAGGGCCTTTTCTTACGTTTTCATCGAACTTGGAATACTTGTCGCTTTCTGACAGGAACATCTCACTGGGGGGAATCTTCATCCTCGCCAGCTTTGCTGCCTAGAGTAGAACAAACATGCTCACAGGGGCTACTCCACTATCACGCCGCCTACCCCCACCTCTGGCCCCATGGTTTCCAAGAGCTCCACCTCCTTAAAAGCCCAGCAGAAAACTCCGGGGTGGAGGGGTGAGGGAGGAGGAGATGGGATGGATGATGCTGGACCACCCACGCCTCTGTTCCCAGGGACCCTGGAGGGGCTGCAGCCCTACAGGAGCCGCTTCTGACCATGAGCCACCAAGGACAGCTGTCCCTTCAGCTGTCTCCAAGACACCATCCTAGGGTAGAGCGGAGCCAGCTCCCTCTGGGAGGCTCCCTCAGGGTGCCTGGTTGGAGCCCAAAAGAGGCACAGAGCGCCGTGGGGCAGGGGTCAACGTGTGACTCTGCCCGGGGAAGCCCGCACCCCAAATAAGCAAAGCAGTTACCTCCTGCTCCTGCTTCCTCCTGGCAGCCTCCTCCTTCTTCCTCCTCTTCTCCTCTTCAGCCTAAGGTAGAGCAAGGCCTGAGAGTGGGCCCTGGGCTCACCCTGCCACCCCACAGGACCTCCCTGTGGTGCCTCAAAGACCAGCCAGGCAATGGTCAGCTCTACCTTCGCTCTGTTCTCACAGGCCTCGGGGAGGGGAGAGCCACTCTACACCTACCTCACGCTAGTGCCCCTTCCACCGTGGGGGAATGGCATTTTGGGGAATGCCTGAATGATCTCACCTCGGAACAAAGTTAGTCTTATGTTTTGAGATCATTTAACACTGTCCAGCTTGTTTAAATGTAACTAACCTTTAGGAAGATGATATAAATAAATTCTTATCAGACCTTGGGCTCCCCTTGAAACCCCTTCTACATGCTAAACACATAGCTTCAATCTCAGATTATATGTTCCCTATTTTTCCCTCATGACCCTGCCTTGCCTCTAGCCCAGAACAACATGTGTGTATGCGTATGTGTGTGTGCATGCATGTTTGTGTGCGTGCGTGTGCATGCGTGTGTGCGCGCGTGTGTGTTGTAAGAAGAGCCGTGTCCTTGGAAACACATTGGAAGCAGCAGATTACTCACAGTGGTTTTGTCTGCTGTTCTGGGTCAGCAGGGATCAGAAAAGGCAGACTCTTCCCTGATAAGACAAGGTTCCTCACCCCTCTCCCACACCGTGCTGTGCCCCGTTTAATTCCAGAACAATTCCTGGAGAAATGAGAAGCAACAGCTCTGAGACCAGATCGAGTTCCTCGTTGTTTAAGTGACTCCAGGAATGAGACTTTCTGTTCTGCCTGGGCATCTGCCACACCATGCTGCCTGCCTGTGGCTTCCTGCCTGGCCCAGGACTGCAGTGATCTTCAAAGGCACGCAGGCACGCGCTGCACTTCGTACTTGTGACGACAGGTCTGTGTGGCCGGGGCTGGTCTCCAACTTAAGGTCATCTGTCACAGCCTCCCAGGTACTGAGGTTACAGGTGCACCACCACACCAAGCTCGGACAATACTAGCCTTGTTCCTATTCTTTCTCCTCTTAGACACCCAGGTCCTCGAGCACAGGGACCTCACTGGGAGGCCAGGCGCACTGAGGCGGGGACAGTGGGCCCTGGGGGACGAGCAGCCAGAACAAGCTGGGTAAACGGCAGCAGGCGAAAGCAACACTTATTTTATTTATTTATTTTTTTTTGAGACAGGGTCTCCCTGTAGCCCCAGCTGTCCTAGAACTCACTATGTAGACCAGGCCGGCCTTGAACTCACAGAGATCTGCCTGCCTCTGCCTCCCGAGTGCTGGGACTACAGGTGTGCACCACCACGCCCAGCTGACACATCAGAATTTTAAGATATCACGAACATCAGTTCTTTGAGCAGCGTTTTCGTCACCAGGCTAGCTGGATCACTTTGGCTACTCACCCTTTTCTTCTCTCCCTTCTCTTTCAGTAGGGTGTCTCTATCCACCAGTTTCACCACGGTTGGCAGTCCTAAAAGCAGATGGTCAGTGAGACTCAGGAACTGTGGACCTGCCTGCCTTGTCGGGCTGCTTGTCCCTGATCCTGAGCGGTGAGTGCGCACCCCATGGGAACCTGGGACCTGCCTGCCTTGTCGGGCTGCTTGTCCCTGATCCTGAGCGGTGAGTGCGCACCCCATGGGAACCTGGGACCTGCCTGCCTTGTCGGGCTGCTTGTCCCTGATCCTGAGCGGTGAGTGCGCACCCCATGGGAACCTGGGACCTGCCTTCGGCTTCACACAGGCAACATAAATGCCAGGTGGGGCAAACCAGTGAACAAAAACCAAAATCCAGGGCTGAGGTGTGGCTCAGTGGTAGACTGCCTGCCTCGCACTGTTGGAGGTCTGAGGTCACATCCCAAACACTGCAAAGACTCGAAACCACAGGAAGAAGGAAGCCTGCCTGCCAAGAGTTCAAGGCCAGCCTGGGCTACAGAGTGAGATGTCAAAAACCAAACAGAGGGCACTCTCACCAACTTTTCCTTCTTGCCAAGCTCTTTGTGACACGCAGAGCAAACCTCTGGAGGTCACTGTGCAGAGTGACCACCAGTAGCCACTGCTACCAGCCACCTTCAGATAAGCCCCACAGCGTCTGGGAACTCTGCATTTCCATGTTATAGACGCTTTGTATATTAAACAGTTGAAAGGTATGGTGGTGCATGCCTTTAATCCCAGCATTTGGGAGGCAGAGGCAGTGGATCTCTGTGAGATCCTGGTCTCCATAGTGAGTTCCAGGTTGGCAGTGAGGGGTCCCGGATTCAGGCTTTGGCAAAAAGTTCCACGAAGCCTGAAAACAGATGGTGAGATGGATGTGCTGGATGTCTCTTCTCCCACAGTGAAGAAAGGCAGGCCAGCCTCAACAGAAAAACTGGCTGTGGCCAGCATGGTCCACAATGAACTAAAATCTCCTGGGTGGCACCCAGGGGTGTCTGGAGACACTGAAAGCCCCACTCCTGCTCTTCAGCCGCACATGAAAACACTGGTGCCCTTGGACCCCTAAGACTGTCACATCCCCTTACCAGTATCCCCTCCATAACTCCCAGCTGCCTTTTGGCTCCCAACAAGCAGCTTGAGAAACCACCCACCTTCATGGTCTTCAAACCGCACCCCGAGCTCAGGCAGGACGTCATCCCGGAGGGCATCACTGAGCTGCAGAACCTCAGGGACTGTTGGGGAGGAAAAGCAGTTCCCTGAGACCATAGGAGGCCCAGGTCCCTCGAGACCATGCTCTCTCCAGTACTGGGTAGTAGACAATGGCTCCTAGAGGACGGGGAGCCAGGAGGCTGCTACACCACGCTTGCCACAGAAGCCCTGGCACAGCACCAGCTCTATGGGGAGCCTAGAGACCCAGGAAGGATGGTCAAGAGTTTCTAGCCCCTCAACTGGCACAGGGAGCCAGGACCTGTCTGCTCAGAGCCCAGTGTGGCCAGGTTGCTTACATGAGGAGGCTCTATAACCCCCAGAGCCCGGTCACTTGGGCATCACCATGCTGACTCAACATTATGAGAGGTGGTCATGTCCCCTCATACAGGGCCCCCCCAGGCCCATGCCAGACCTATTCAGGACCTTTGCCCTGGGTCACCCTCAAGTCCTGAAGAGCTCCTCACTCCTCTCACAATGTGACCTCACATGCCTGCTGAGAACTGTGGTCTCCTACAGGTGTCTGATGGCTGAGAGATTGTTCAGCAGTAAGAATACCTACTGCCCCTCTTGCTCTGAATCCCCCAAGAAGCCAGAACACATCTGGAGGAGGGGATCCAGGAGGCCGGGGCGACTCTCTAAGCTGCTGCCTGTTGGAAACACCAGCCTCGACTGACCACCAGGCTGCAGATATGGGGAGGCCACAGTGGAGGGGCCTTACAAACGACCTCAGGGACTGCCATGCGTTTAGCTCCACAGAGAGTAAGGTGACCCTGGCCAGTCAGGACAGGAGTGGTTGCCCCGAGGCCGAGCCAGAACTCATACAGGACAGAGGAGGAGAGCAGGAGGCCAGGGCAGCTGAGCAGAGTGGGTCTGGACATTCCTAACTTCTGGGTCTGTCAGTTTTAGCACCTTCAAGGACCAGCCACCCTACCCTTCCCTGTAGTGCGTCCGAGAGCACTGGAAGGCCAGGAGTTCAAGGCAGGGACTAGGCTTCTGCTTTGTAAGGTCCTCAGCAAGCACACGACACAGCTCCCCTATCTGCTCAGGCTGGGACCCCAATGCCCCTTGCAGTCAGGAACCAGGAGTCCTGGAGGATCTACCCCGACATGGTTCTCTGGCCACAACAGCTCAGCACCTTCCTCAGAGCAAATGCAGCCGAGGGAGCCAGGCCTGTCCCTCACCGACCCCAACAGCACAGCATTGCTGGATGTGTGAAACAAGATGAGGGGTCGTGCAGGCTGCCAGCCCAATACCACCTCCCAGACAGCACCAAACCCTGCTTAGAAATGTGAGCATTTGCAGTCCATGGGCTCCCTCCCTGTCGGCCTCAGCCTCTACCAGTACCACGAAGCATGAAGATAAAACTGGAAACAACGGAGGGAGGGGCCGGGGAGACTGCAGCACAGGGCCAAGGACAGGGTTCGGTTCCCAGCACCTCTGTAAAAAGCCAGGCGTGGTATTTCCAGTGCTGCTCAAACAGGCAGGCCCTGGGCCTTTGGCTTACTTAGCAAGCCCAGCTGAACCAGGAAACCTATGTTCCAGTGAGAGACTGTCTCAAAGAGGGGATGGCTCTGAGGAATGATACCCAAGGTGGGTCTGCGACCTCCACATGCACATATGCACACATGAACATGTACACACACAAAATTTTTAAAAAAACATTAAGGGCACAAGCACCACCCAGAAGCTGGGGAGGAAGTAGGAAGCCAGAACTTGTGCTCTGTTGTGCGTGGGAGGGGCACAGCACCACTCCAAGAACAGCTGCCTTCTTCGATACCCTGCCACTGGTTCCCATGTGCCCAATTCCACTCCCAGGGGTGTGCCTAGAGTTGAAATGGCTATTCAAGAGAGTGCCTAGGTGTCCTCCACAGCGGCACCATTCAAATACTGTCAAGTTAAGACTGGAGAGAAAGCCAGATCCACGACAAAGGCTGGCCACCCAGCACCAAGAAGTCCAGGATGAAGGCTGGCCACCGGCACCGAGGGAACAGAACACAGACACTGTCACATGGATAGACCTGAAGACGCCATGCTCTACCACAGCTACAGAAAAGGCCAGAACAGGACAATCTGGGGGTGGGGGACGGGGAGAGGCCACTGGGTGGTGAGGGGATGCCCTCCGAGTGACCCTGAGATGTGGAGTGGTACAGCAGAGCCAGGCACGGAAGCTCTGAGTACTGTTCTAAGGTGGTTTGTTTTGCTGCATGCTATCCGCCTCCATAAACTACAGGCCTGCCTGCGCCACGTCCCACCTAGGGGTGTGTGGGAGGGACCGCCGTTCACACGGCTGAGGCTGTATCCCGGGCTGCTGTGGTCCCGCTGCCTTTAGGCCAGAGTCCAGCCGCAAGGGGACCAAGATGGACCAGGTCTGGGTAGGAGGGCTCTTCTGTGGGGTCGCCCCGCCACAGCCACTTCGTCATCAGTGTCACCCAGTAGGGCGACTGGGCCTTCCCTGGATGAGGTTCCCAGATGTGATGCCTCCTGGGGACACCACTGCCAATAGCAGGTGACTCCCAGGAAGCACCCGGCACAGATGGTATGGCTTCTGCCACCTTTGCAGTTCTTTCCCATGAGTCGATGAGTGCCCGGACACCTCACGCTGGCATGCCATGCCAAGCCGGCAAGGCGCCCTCACAGAGCTCAAGGACAGCATGTGCAGTGGGCAGAGGGCGGGTCAGAGCTGGCTTCTGTCAGCAGAGAACGGAGTAGGGCAGAGCACACGATGCTGCAAGAAGTCACCGAAGGGAAACAGACCCAGGAGAAGATGCAAAAGGCAATGGAACGGTGCTGGGTGAATGCATGATGGGGCAGGGAAGGTTCCCAGTGCCAGCCGCTCCACAGTGACAGAGGGAAGGTTCCCAGTGCCAGCTGCTCCACAGTGACAGAGGGAAGGTTCCCAGTGCCAGCCGCTCCACAGTGACAGAGGGAAGGTTCCCAGTGCCAGCTGCTCCACAGTGACAGAGGGAAGAGGTCCCTAGAGCCAGCCGCTCCATAGTGACAGAGGGAAGTAGGTCCTAGAGCCAGCCGCTCCACAGTGACAGAGGGAAGTGGTCCCTAGAGCCAGCCGCTCCATAGTGACATAGGGAAGCGGTCCCTAGAGCCAGCCACTCCATAGTGACATAGGGAAGTGGTTCCTAGAGCCAGCCGCTCCATAGTGACAGAGGGAAGCGGTCCCTAGAGCCAGCAGCTCCACTGCAACAGAAGGAGTACCCAGGAGCCAGGAGGGGCTGTGTAATGGGAAAAGGTCCTGGAGATGGGTAGTTCATCGCAGTGCACATGTACTCAACCCACTGAGCTGTGCACAGAAACAGGTTAAAATGGTCCTGCGAACACTGGACACTACACCACATGGCGAGAGGGCGACAGGGAAACGGCCACCATCTCCCAGTGACAAAGGCCTGCCTAGCCCGCTAACCCTTCTAACTTCTGTACCTGGTCCCCAGTGTACCCAGACCAGGGAGCTGACCGTCTGTGCCTGTTTCTTTCGCCTGCCTCTGGACACCTGGTGTGGTAGACCAGTTGCATGAGGCCTGCCCTGGGCTACTGGCATGCCCTATTTCTTGGCCAGTCAAAAAGTAAATGGCCAACAGAGTCACATTTGCTGCCATGTTAGGAGAGAGGGTGCTGGGGCTGAGCATGTCTAAAGGGCAGCTGCAGCTTGAGGGCTTCCAAGAGGAAGGACTGACAGCCCTGGGGTCTCTGGAGGTGGTGACCTTGTGCCCACCAGAGCTTTAGGACAGGAAGTGCTGGGTGTGGACAGGCCCACACAGGTAGGTGGACATGTGGCTATTCCCAGCAGCCCACCGTGGCCTCATACCTCCATTTTGTCCATTTACTCTGAGCAACAAAATCAGACCAAGGAGAAGGCTGCAGATCGAAAGCAGAACTAGGCCACTCCTCCCCAGGTCAACCTACTGCTGATGTTTGGGGCACAAGCCAGCCCCAGCCCTGGACAGCCCCAGCCCTGGACAGGCCCCTCTGTAGTCCTGCTGCCTAGCTCCTTCTGGGTCTGCAGCAGGCCAGGGAAGACAAGGCCACATGCATTGTGCCTGAGTGACCTTAGGGGCTGACTGCCTGGCAGGCAGATGGAAGCGGCAGGCTGCCTCTGAGAACGGCCACCCCCGGACCATGACGTCAGTGACATAGGTGCTGGTGCTGCTGAAGAGCTAGTTGCACAGGTCCCAGGTGGGCCCACTGGGCTCTGAACTTTGTTTCGTTCAGGTGGTTTGTCTCTGGGAGGTGGGTCCACCACTGACCCTGAGCTGCCAGAGCCAGCATGTCCTCTTCTCTCATAGCCGCACCTTGTTCTCTGAGCCTCAGACACCGGGGACTAGGCTTCCCCTTGCCCTCTGTGAACGCTCCACTTGGCCTGGCCTTATGTAGCTGTGGCTCCCAAGCCCTCTGCCTGCATCACCAGCAGCGCTCCCTGCTGGATATAGCCCCATCTGGACACTACGTTGCTGTAACAAGTGAAAAGCTCTCAGGCAGGGCTAGCTGGGTTCTGTGGTGACCTCAGTCAGGGCTGGCTGGGTTCTGTGGTGACCTCGCATCACCAAGAGCAGTGTTGTGGACTCAGGGTGATGCCAGGCAAGAGCCCAAAGTCCCCAAGGCCCAGCATCCTCTTCTGTGAAGTTATAAGGAGAGCAGCTGCCTAGGCCCTGCAGCATGTGTCCAAGATGGAGGCTAGCAGTGGTGCTTGGTTGGGGCCAGAACTACCAGAGAAGGACAAACACCGCTCACTACCAAGCCTGACATTTAATACTGACCACAAATGAACAGCACCAACCCAACACCTTCTAGATCTCAAGCCATATACCTCAGAAGGCCGGAGGGTGAAGGAATGGATGTGCCTAGGCGATGAGGCACTGCCGGGGACCCTGAGTTCTGGACCTCCACCACCATGCCCTGGGCAGAGCAGTAATAAGGTGATCTCCAGCTCCAGGCCAGCAGGGGGTGCGCTAAGCACTGTGAGACCGTGCAGCCAGACAAGCCACTCTGGGGCATGCACAGGTCTGGGTCATCAGGAGCGGAGAAGACCCAGTCCAAACCACAGACCCGCTACCCTGCTTCTGCTCAGAACCAGAGCTATGCAGACACCTGGTCCTCAGGCCCATGGCCATGCCTGGCCTGGCCCAGCTGTTCTAAGTCAAAGGAAGCTCTGACCCAGAGCAGTGCTGCCTGGAGAGGCCAGGGGGATAAAGCAGGTCCACACGCTGCAGGGCACGAGGCAGCGGGAACAGGCGAGCAGTTCAGGGTGAGCAGTGGTGTGACATGCCCAGAGTGGTGGGGGCCTCACCTTTTTTCTCCCGGGCAATCCTGCGCACGCCTTCTCTGAATTCCGACAGCACTTGCAGGTAGGGCATGACTGTAGACTCGAGCTGTGAAAGAATGGGTCTGATTCAGGAGAGCCACCACTTTAGGGCAAACCCTGTGCAACAGGGTGTGCTGCTGTGCCCTGAGTCTTGGTGCCCACACGTCCTTATCATGACAGGTGGTGAGTGACATGTACTTGGGGGTGCCCAAAGCAGGGGATGTGGGCCATGGAGCAGAACACTCCGCAGCCACCCTGTCTACTGAGACAGACACAGTTCCGGGAAACTGCCTTTATCTTTCCAAAAGGGCCATCAGGATGCATGGCCATCTGTGGTCACGTGTGGGCCCGCTGAGGGCTAGTCACACACATTACCTTGTACACACGACAGTGGCACATGGGTAACCACCTACAGTAATGCTGGGGAGGAGGCTGGGGAATGCGGAGCCACACTGGGAAGACCCAAACAGAAGCCTGACGCTATGACTCACCTCTTACAGTGTATCTCTCTATCTCCAACAGGACAAAAAGCTTTGGGCCTTCTCAGCAGGGTCTCCCTGTGCCTCAGTTATGCAGAAACTCAAGAACCAAAATAAGGAAATGGCAGGCCCTGGTTGGGAGAGCGCTGCAGGGTAAGCTGTCCTAGGCCTTCCATCAGACGGACAGAGGAAAGCTGTCTCCCTTGCAGCTGAGGCTCTGGACTCCGGGGTGGAGCTAGACCCTCTCTCCAGCCCCACTGGGACAGCCTGGACAAGCCAGTCATTGTATCACCAGCCTTGGCCCCCAATTCTGGGGGCTCTTGGTAGAGGGCAGGGTCTGTCTCCAGGAGTCCTGGGACTGGTACCCTGATGTCCAGCTTCTAGCTGACTGCACCTGGGCACAAGACTGTACCAAGAAAGGTTAGGCCCGGGTCTGCCATTCAGGGTCTAGAACAATTTGAACTTCACACTCTGGGCTATGGTGCAGAAGGCTTGGACTCACAGGCTCACCATGTTCACCTGCGGCTGCTACTGCCTACCAGCTGACTTCAAGGGACGAAATGAGACTACCTGGGAGTGCATGACTGTTGGGAAACCCTGCTGTTAGGGTTGTAGTTTCTCCATGTCTGGATAGCCCTGAGGGGCTCGGTGCCAAATGGAAGAACTCCCCTTTTCAGCAGGGGGCCTCCTGCTCTCTTCCTGGCTCACCTTGAAGTGCTGCCAAACACAGATGCCTGACCTTATCTGAAACATGACCTTTGGCATAGTTACGGGGAGTAAAAGCTACTACCAGGTTTTTTTCTATATGATAATCAGGCACTGTCTGACAGCCTGATTGATAGAAGCCCACTGCCACATGTAAATAAAGCACACTATGAGCACCTACCAACTGAGGCTTTTGCTACTGCCTCCACACTATAAATTCTCTACTTTTCCCACTAATAAATGGTGCTGTTTTTCACTGTGCCTGGCTGGAGCTGTGCCACTGCTGTTTCACTGCGCCTGGGACCAGCCTGGGATCAGTCTCCCTGGAAGGGCTGTCTTCCGTCAGCACTCACTGGCCATCCTGACCCCGTACGCTGCTTCTGCTCTCCCTGCCCTCGTGGGCTGGTGGCCGACGACCCACGAGGAGAGAGAGCCTCCCGCAGCTGGCCCGAGCCGCCCTGCACATGACGTCATCTTAAAGGTGCCCCACCCCACGACCACAGCACTGTTGAAGAATAAAAGCTGTTTAAGTTCACCTATGAGCTGTCTTTTGGTTTTTGTTTTCAAAGAAAATAAAGAGCTAGAAACATCTATGCAGAGAACAGAGGAGCCGGGTTTTCTTAAAAGCACTTAAGGCTGGATGGGGTGTGGTGGGGCACACCTTTAATCCCAGCATTTGGAAGGCAGAAACAGGTGGATCTCTGTGAGCTCCAGGCCAGTCTGGTCTACATGGTGAGTTCCAGGCCAGCTGGGGCTACAGGGAGACCAGACCCTCATAAAGAAAATAAAATAACATAAAGAGCACTAAAGGTGGGTCCTACGTGGCTAAATCTAGAAGCTACCATGCCAACAGCTTGCTGAGAGTCAGAGATGGCTTCTTCCCATCTGGAGGTAGATCCAGCCACTCCTCGACAGGAAGCAGCTGCAGGCAGCTCTGCCTTCTCATTGGTTCTGAGCTACTGTTTCCATTAGCACAGCAGACGCTTCCTCTAAACATTTATATACACTTTCTAGTCAAGTCATTAGAGTGCTCTGTGCGAGAGGGTGGAGGGGTGTCTTAAATGAGCTGAGCTGTCCCTATATTGTAGAGGAACATAACTGACCTGTGTCAGCCCACTTGCTACTGTAAATGCTGACACCAGCTGCAGACAGTGGGTCTGTTCTGATGGGTTTCCTGGTCTGCTTAGACTGGTACACAGATGCCTCCCTGGTAGTGGCTGCTGGACCCTGAGCTGGTGTCTGAACTAGGCCTGGCCTGGCATGGGTTTCTAGACCAGCTCTGTGGGGCAGAGGCAGACAGTGGGAATTCCCCTAGTGTGAGCACTGTGTCATGTGTACGCATGACCTTTGGAGTTCACCCTGCACATTCCCAGGCTCCATGTCCAAGAATCCAACCAACCACAAGTTGAAAACATTTGAGGAAAAATGAGCCGTGTGCATATTGGACATTCCATTACTCCTCAGACCACACAGTGTAACAGCCATCTGCACAGCATTTACACTGCAGGAATTAGATCAAATCTGGAGGTGATTTAAAATTTACAGAGGCAGAATCAGGGAAATAGTGTTGGTAAAGTGCTAGGTATATAAGCCTGAGGACCTGAGTCCAACCCCCAGCACCCACATAAAAAAGCCAGGTGAAGGGGCTGGAGAGATGGCACTGGTTTCTCTTACAGAGGACCCAGGTTCAATTCCCAGCCCCCACATGGCAGCTAACAACCATCTATAACTCCAGTTCCAGGGTATTGGATGCCCTCTTCTGGCCTCTGAAGGCATTGAACAACACAGGTGCATTTACATGCATGCAGGCAAAACACTCATACACAATAAAAAATACAAAAAACAAAGCCAGGTGTGAAGGGATACACTTAAAATCCCAGCACTCCGAAGGCAGAGACAGAGGATCCTTGGGGCTTGCTGGCCAGTGTAGCCTAATCAGTGAGCCCCAGGTCAGTGAGAGACCCTGTCTCAAAAAACAAGGTGGGCATTTCCTGAGGTTGTCCTTCTGGTCTCTACATGCATGCACAGACATATGCACCTCCACACACACAAACTACAGAGAATGGGCACAGGGTTGATGCAAACATGCTATTTTATGCATGAGATTTGAGCACCTGTGGACCCTGGTGTTCTCAGAGGGTCCTAGGGAACAAGGCAGCACCCCAGACCACTATACATGGAACAAAAACCTGAGGGGAGTTTAGGATGCCGCAAGCTGAGATGTAACCAGGGCTGAGAAGCAACCCTTCCAGCTAGGTCTCAAGTCAGCTCGCAGGACAGTGGAAAAGCACACTGTAAAACAGCCAGGGACACAGATCATCTACACAGACGGCCAACCCAACCATCCTGCTCCCTCCATTGTTGGGTGAGAAAGGGACCTGAACTGGTCTCAGCATGCCCACAGGGGAGGCGGGAGAGTGTGAGACTTCTGTGGGATCTAAAGGACTGTGAGGTGGGACAGGAAGTCCCAAAGCATGTAGACCAGGGGCATCAGAGGGTGGCAGCAGCTGACCACACAGGCTGGTTGTGCTCTACTCACGTTCAGGCTGGTCCTGGGCCCTCCAACTGGGAAACCCAGGGACCTCTCCTCCTCTATGGCTCCAAAGATCTGAGGGAAGAAAGACAGAATTCAATCATGTGCAGGATGGAGAAGTAAAGTGCCGCCCACAGCTCAAGGCTGTCCTGACATCTCTAGGGGCAGGCGGATGGACGCCTTTCCAGGTGGGTCCCCACAACTGGGCAGGGAGGAGTAGGAAGAAGCACCGAGAGCCCTGTAGCCCCATCCAGGTGCACTTAGGCCCTGAGATGCTGCTCTGGCTCTCTTCTAGTTGGGAGCCATTTGGGGCCGACAAGGGCAACAAAGTCCCACTGGCCTGGGAGGGAGTGCCTTAGGTACGGTGTGGGAACAGAAGTGCTCTGCACACAACTACACAGAGTCAAGGCCTTGGCTTGGTGTCGCTTCCCGAACTCTGGGATGAGAGCATAGTGAAGTGGACACAAAGATGGCCGTGTGGCCTGAACGGCCAGCTCGGGAGTCCACAGCGGACAGGAGAGCGGCAGCCCAGGATGGCCTAGGCAGGGAAGCAGTTTCCACACGGAGGCCAAATTAGCCACTACGGGCCTGTTGCCTGGGGCCACACAGGTGTGAGGGTGTAGTGGCCCACCTTCAGCATGTGGGTGAGGTACATAGCAATGTTCTCCAGCAGAGCCCGGTTGGGCCTCCTCCTTTCGGCCTTCCGAACTGCCATGTAAAGGTTGCACTGACTGACCAAAGCCCGCATCTCTTCCATGACGGTGCGGGTATCCACATTATCACAGAGGGCTTCATGAACTGCCCTCTTCTTCTCATAGAAGCTGAGCAAGGAAGAGGAAGGAACCATGCTACAGAAATTCTCCATGCGGTTCCCAAGCAGAGCCGCTGCCACCAGTAGAGACCACAGGCTCTGACATGTGGCAGGCCCCGCCTTCTCTTCAGCAAGCAGGACAGGCTTGGTGGGGTGACTGCAGCCGGCCCAGAACACACACATGCTCACAGACCCCCAGAAAAGGCTCCAACTCACTTCTTATTCAGCTCTGCCTCCTCAGACTCCCACTTTTCAAACTGGCCAGTGATGTCTACAGGGGCTCGGAGGATGTCTTTCACGTTTAAGAAAAACTCCTGAAGTTATAAAAGTCAGGTTAATGGCATTTGGGCAACTTTCTACCCAGAGGCACCTGATGTTCCACTGTGATTTTACTTGAGGTTAGATCTGTCAGCACAATGTGAACATTACTGCGAGGGTCCAAGAGACAGAGGATGATTCTTCCTCGGGACAGAAAGGTGTCGCTGGGTAGGAGCCAAGCTGGACGGCATGCCCCGCATGTGAACGTGGCTTCCCTGAACTCTGCCAAGCTCTTAGCTTCAGGAGTGGGGCCACGCACAGCCTCCCACAGTACCAGGTGACCATCACTGGCTCAAAAGACCCACACTCCCATGGTGCCCGCCTCTGCCATGAGCCAAGAACTCACATTCATGAACCTCTCGTACTGAAGGGCAGACTCCATGGTGTTGCTGGAATAGTCCAGGGTGTCTTTCCAAGAATGCATGAGGAAGGCCAACCGCAGCTGCCGCGCTGGGGAGCAAGCAACACTGCCAACCCTCACTCCTGGGGGGTGGCTGGTACCCCACCTAACAGGAGTCTTGGGGAAGCCATGCTTACCTGAGTGTTTCTTCAAGGCATCTTTAATGGTGATGAAGTTTTTCAGGGACTTGGACATCTTACAGCCCGCTATCGTCAGGTGACCTGTGTGCAGGAAGTACCTGACCCAGCAGTCATTTTCAAAGTAGGCCTGAGTACAAGGAGGCAGGAGGATGGTTCAGCCAATGCCTCACCTGCAGGACTGAGAGCCCTGCTGTCCTGTTTGTGCTCACCTCTCCTAGGTGGGGCACCTGGAGCTTGAAGGGCTACCCTGGTTACCTGCCAGCCGGTAACATACCTGGTTTGAATCTAAGCCTGTCTGTTATCAAAGGCCAAGCTGTTACCACTGGAATTCAGACAAGGCCATTGGGGTCCAAATCTCCCTTAGCTCCCCCAACTAAGATGCCAAGTTCATCACGCGGCCCCATGAGGGCGCTGCTGACATTGCCCCAACAGGAAGGATACCATGCTCTCTCTAGGAAGGTGACCTGTCTTCACCTACCTCTGACTGTGCCAGCTCGTTGTCATGGTGGGGGAAGCGGAGGTCAAACCCTCCACCATGAATGTCCATCGAGGCTCCCAGGAGTGTACCTGCCATGGCAGAGCACTCTATGTGCCATCCTGGTCGACCCTAAAGACACATAAAGGGGCCCTGCTGACCAGACCAAACTTACTCAGATTTTTATTGTTCCAGGAAGTGACCTTTAAGCCCTCTGAACTTCATTGCACCAGCTTAAACTCCACAGGAATGGACTAGAAGATCTGTCTACCTAGTTCAAAGCCAGCCTCCAGTGGCTGTGGCTTAGCTAAAGCCAGAGAATTACTTCTAGATCCCCCAGCATCAGCAAGTGGCAGATGTCCTCCTCCAGCAAAGGTTGCAGACATATGGCCATCTGGACCTCCAGAGCCAAGAACATCGACCTACAGGCACAGGAACCCAGAGCAGAGGCCTCTGAGGTGGCCAGTCTCACTGCACCTCCACTTGCAGATCAGGAAACAGAGTCCCAGGAAGAAGCAGGTTCTGGTCCCAGTAGCACTGTCTGCCATCCCTCCCCCTGCCTCGTGCGACAGCCCCTCCTCCCACTGTCCCAGCTGTGCACCTTCACAGTAGCAGCTCACTCACTTTTCCCCAGGGGCAAGGCCAAGACGGCTCTCCTGGCTTGGAGGCCTTCCACAGGGCGAAGTCGTTGGGAGAGCGCTTCTCACTCAGGCGGTCAGCAGAGACACTCAGGTCACCTACAAGTGGGTGAGGGAAACAGGCAGATCATCCAGTGGCAGGTGACAGCAGGCATGCCAGGCCTCACCTCAAGGCCGTTCTGGGTGCCCATGGCCAGCCCATTGCACCAGCCAGTTAACTTGCTCAGGCAGCCTCAGGTCTGCTGAGACAGAGGTGGGTGCTGACAGTGTCTCGATCTACCAAACACTACCTATCGGCTCCCAAGACTGTGACTCAGGGTCCCAGCTGACGTGGGGGTCTACAGCCATGCTGTTCCCACCCTGCCTCCTCAGCTGTCAACCCCATGCCTCTAGGATAGCCTGTGGCACTCTGATGGAAGCTAGGTGGGCACATGGCTCACTGGCCCATGCAGGTGGGAGCCCCAGGTCCCAGCACAGAGCTGTCAGCCCAGCAAGATGGTTCCCAAAGGGGCAAAAGCATGGCTGAGTGGCTACGTGCCACTTCATGGACGCCAAGGTCAGCGGTGACATTGTCCCCCTTGGATTCATGAAGCCAGGTGAAGTAGCTGACTGAGGTAGGCAGGAGAGCAGGGTGCCTACTGGGTGCACCTCCTGACAGGGTGGTGGAGGGAGCCACTGGTTGGACTCTGCATGCATGGGCTCAGTGGCAACTGGACAGTGGCACAGGGATGTAAGATGGCTGGAGACCCACGCGGACGGCACTGTCACCAGGCACATGAGGACACAGCTGCTATGGACACGGGCCCCTGCGGGTGCCCCCACACTGAGGATCAGACTTCATTAGGTGAATGGGCACAGCCAAGGTGTTGGGAGCTATTAATATAAGCACAGCCATCATGTCCATTGAGCTGTGGCAGGCTTGCTTATTTACTTTATGACCTTTCACCCTGACTCAAGAGTTTGTGTTTTACACACAAGCACTGAATTGTTCTGTCAAGTCAGGAGGAACATGCTGATAATTTAGGAAAGATGGTTAATTGGTGGAATTCACTACAGTATTTGACCATTCCTTAACCCTCAGATAAAGGTGGTGAAAAAGAGCTGTTGAAGCTAATTGAGCTAAGTAAACTGGTTATGTGACGTTCTGCTGTATAAGAAGGCTGAGCTGAAATAACCCGGGGCTGCAGTCTCTACTGACAGTCCTCCCAAGGATCTTTTCTCTGTCTCTTGTTTTTTCTTTCAATCCTCACTCCCCCTTTCAGGTGCTGTTCATCTAAGGCCGGCTGGCACCGGCACCAAGGCCTTCCTTCCACCTCAGGCCCTGGACCTCAAGAGTCTGCCTGACTGCTGAATCCTCCCCCGGGTACCATCAAGCCCCAGGGAAAACTCTAGAACAGAAGGGCCACCTGAGATGCTGACTCAGGAGATGCGAGTGCAACTCCATCTTTCAGAAGCTGGGTGGGTCCAGGCTTGAGGTCCCGTGCCATGGTGGGAGGAGGCACCACTTGGGCACCACTAGCTCAAGATGATGAGAAACACAGTGAACAGAGTGCTTGGGCAGGACCTGGCCATCACTGCCGATCCCAGAGAGGCGACTGCTGCCTTCTGCTGTGCAGACCTGACTGTCAAAAATAGGCCCCGAGAAACGCAGACACGGGCAGCACCCAGGACAGAGCTCGGCTGGTTCCAGCTTCCTCCCGCACCAGGAGGCCCAGAGCCTCAGCTTTCTCCAGGCTCCCCTTGGACACACAGCCCAGGCATAGCCCCGAATGGTTACTCCTCTGAAGTGAGTTACTTTTCAGTGTTTGTAATGGATTATTTTGAAAAGGATAGAAAAAAATTTATACAAAACAACACATCAGCCTCTGCACCCACCAGCACCAAGTATCGAAGGTGTGAGGTGTTCTCTCCAGGGTCGGGCCCCATCAGGCCAGGTTCCTGCAACCTAGCTGGCCCATCCCACGTGAGGCTGCCTACCACGTACCACCTGCTCTCTTCTCTGTCACTTGAGTCCCTGAATGCCGGTGGCAGGGCTTGTGCCCAGAAAAGACCACCCTTCTAATGTCTCCCCACACTGTACCCTGGGCCAGACGTGAATATCCAACTGGCTTAGCCTCCCCTCTTCAATGTCTCTTTGTCATCCTGTGGAGTTTCCAATGCTGGTATTTCCTTATTTTTTAAAGAGTATATTAAAATATTTTATTATCTTTATTTGTATGGGCGTTTTGCTTGCACATATGTAAGTGCACGTGTACATACAATGCCTACAGAGGCCAGAAGAGGGCATCTTGCAGGGCCAGGTCCTCTGCAAGAACAGCCAGTGCTCTTAACTGCTGAGCCATTGCTCCAGCCCCTATTTTGATTATTTTTAACTGTATTTATGTGTGTGCCTATGCACACGAACGCAGGTTCCCACAGAGGCCAAAGGTGTGGGATCCCCTGCAGTTACAGTTACGGGGAATTTATGCACCACCTGACACGGGTGCTGGGCATCAAACTCGGGTCCTCTGGAACAGCAGTACACATTCTTCTCCAGCCCCTGATATAGCTTTAGAACAGAGTCCTATAGCTGACATTTCTATCCAAAGCCTAAATTTTTATGGCTAGACTGCCTTCCTGAAACAGGTGGGTCAACAGGAGATGTGTCCAGCGTGGCAGCCACTCTTCCGCTGAAGGACGGAGCCTCCCACCTGGATTCTGTGGCATGGCCTCGGAAGCACTATGCAATAGGCAGTTCTAAGGGGATTCAATGTGACTCTGCCTGGTCTGCCTGATGCTGCTGTTTAAAATACTTGGAAGACTACCAAACACACTCCAGGGCCCCAGTATCCACCCCAAGCAACACGCTCCTTCACGGTGGCCAAAGCCCAGGCCCAGGGCCTGTGTCCGGATGGCACAGTGGAGACTTGTTTCTTAACAAGCAATGCCATGGCATGGGAAACTCCCAGAGATCCTTTAGGGAAAGCAGCACTTGGTCAGGGTCAGGGAGGACAGTCGTCCAGGTTAGAGTGTGCTCACAGCTCTCAGTGAGCCTGGCAGTGGGCTGGACACCCACCGTGACCAGGAGGGAGTGATGCTGTTGAGGCTGAGCACGAGGAAGAGCCCGGCTTCGCCCGTCCTCCACTGTGTGCTCCCGTTTACCTTCCCCTTCCTGAAGAGCTTTCTGGTCGCCAACAGCCTCAGGCACCAGCTTCCCGTAGGAGTGCTTCTCGCTGGCAGCGAACCTGGCTGTGTCGAAGTAGACAGACCCATTGGAAGCATAGCTGGAGGGGGAGAGAGGCAGCTAAGACACAGGCTCCACGGCAGGGGGAGGGCAGAGGGCCGCGCCCACGCTCTGGGCTCTCCCGCAGTGGGTCAGAAGCCGTGCTAGTGTGGACCGAGGGAGGCTGTGCTTGTGTGGGCCGAGCAAAGCCAGGGAAAGGGAAACCTCCTGGGGCAGGCATGGCCGGAGTCCCACACAGCCCCTCTGCTTGGTGCCTTGTGGCCACACAGTCCAGTCCTGGCCTGGCCTGGTGACGACACAGCCGTGAGACACAGCCTCTCCTCTCTGTGACCGCCTCCACCTTGTCACCCAGTCATGGCTCTCTGAGAGCCATGAGCACATGCTAACCTGGAGGGCTGCCCTCCCTGACCCTGACCCAGGCTTGCCTGTGCCTCTCGGTCAGGCCAGTCCCCTGCTGCCCCGAAGTCACCTGTGTCACGTGGGCTGTGGCGGCACATGGCTGGCGCTGCAGCAGGCACTGAGCAAGGAGTCCTCACTCCCCTCCCCTCTGTGAAGGGAGTGGCAGGATGTGACCTGAGCTAGGCTCGGGAGTACAGCAGGCATGTGTGGAGCACTGCCCACAGACACCTGGGTCCGAGCCATGCCACCCTTGTGGCTCCCCTAAGAGGCTAACTTCAGCCATATGGAAAACATTTCCGGCACATGAGAGTCAAGCCTGAGCCGGGCAGTGTCTATACCGACACAGCCAGGCCACAGGACACAGTCCGAGAGGGTCTGAGTGGTGCAACTGTGCCCAGCAGCCCGCAGTGTCCATGCTCACCACTGTGCCCATCTGCCCAGGACCTCTGACTTCACTGCTATTTCCAAGCAGACATTGGGCCAGGTCCACCCACCAACACCTGGGTAAGGCCACTAGGCTGTCGAGAAGGGCCAGTCAGCCAGCGTGGTGCTCCCTAGCCTGGCTGGCCCAGCCCTCCAAGAGGACACCTGCTGGGTCAAGCTGGCTTGTGGTCACTTTGCCCTTCCCTCTTCCTGCCTGAATTAGCAAGGTCACATCTGCCCAGTTAAAGGCCTGCTACAGAGGCATGTGCTATGCTATAAACCACCCAAGGGCTTTATCTTACAAGCTACCCAAGCTCCAGCAAGGAGGCAAGGCACAGGATGGGGAATCAGGAAGGGCTAGGCTGTAGCCCTCAGCACCATCTCTGCTCCCTGGACCTGGAGTTGGGGAGTTGCATGTTTGAGGTGGGGGGTCTCGTGCTCACCCATAACCGTTGTCCACAATCTTCTGGACGAAGTTGACGATTTCTGGTACATACTCGCTAACCCGGGTCAAGACGTCAGGAGGGAGAACCTGCAGGACAGAGAGAGTCTCGGTATTCTCCCTCTCTAAGAGCTCTGAAAACTTCAGCCTCTGCCATCTAACACACTCCATGTTAGATGAAGGAGCTGAAAGCGTAGGCCCGAAGGCAGGTCACAGGTGAAAGCCCAGCCTGGACTCCTGAAAGCATAGGCCCGAAGGCAGGTCACAGGTGAAAGGCCAGCCTGGACTCCTAACACACTCCATGTTAGATGAAGGAGCTGAAAGCGTAGGCCCGAAGGCAGGTCACAGGTGAAAGCCCAGCCTGGACTCCTGAAAGCATAGGCCCGAAGGCAGGTCACAGGTGACAGGCCAGCCTGGACTCCTGAAAGCATAGGCCCGAAGGCAGGTCACAGGTGACAGGCCAGCCTGGACTCCTGAAAGCATAGGCCCGAAGGCAGGTCACAGGTGACAGGCCAGCCTGGACTCCTGAAAGCATAGGCCCGAAGGCATCTAACACACGAAAGGCCAGCCTGGACTCCTGAAAGCATAGGCCCGAAGGCAGGTCACAGGTGACAGGCCAGCCTGGACTCCTGAAAGCATAGGCCCGAAGGCAGGTCACAGGTGACAGGCCAGCCTGGACTCCTGAAAGCATAGGCCCGAAGGCAGGTTACAGGTGAAAGGCCAGCCTGGACTCCTGAGACCCTGTCTCAGAATAAAAAGGGCCCGAGACATGGCTCAGCAGGTAGAGGCACTTTCTACTAAGCCCAATGACCTGAGTTCAATCCCCATGATCCATATGTTGGAAGAAGAGAACTGATTCCCACAGATTGTCCTTGGATTGCTACATGTGCAACCTGGCAGCCCCCACCCCCACATACACACTCACCAACACAATAAACATTAAAAAACACACACCTTTAATCCCAGCCCTCAGGAGGCAGAGGCGGGTGGATCTCTGAGATTGAGGCCAGCCTGGTCTACATGGTGAGTTCCAGATGGGCTGGGACTAGGGAGACCCCGTCAAAAAAACAACATAAAATAGCTGGGCATGGTGGCGCACACTTTTAGTCCCAGCACTGGGAAGGCAGAGGCGGGCAGATCTTTGTTAGTTCAAGGCCAGCCTGGTCTACATAGCAAGTTTCAGGCCAGCTGGGACTATAGGGAGACCCAGGAAAGAAAGAAGGAAAAGAGAGGAAAAAAATCCCAAAATTAAGGTGGGGGAATATTCAGAGGTAAATCCCTTGCTTAGTCAGCAAGTAAAGGTGTGGTGTGGCACCTTCTTGACCACAGCTACACCATGCTGAAGTTTAGGCCAACTCTAGTCTCTGAAATTATCAGACAGTTGGCCCAGGGTATGGGAACACATGTCAGCTGGACCCTGATTGTCTTGGGAACAGGTCAGTGTGTCCCAGAGTGCACCTGCTAACTGTAGATTTATGACTTCTGTAGGTTATGCTAGGCTTGCTTCTGCACAATAGTGATTGTTGCTTAATAGAATAGAAATTGTTAAGGGGGGCTCTCCACCTATAAGCTTGGGAAATTAAACTTTTCACTCTTGGTTATGGTTTCTCTGTATAAAAGCTTACCCTAGAGATGGCTCAGGGCTACACTTGGGTTCCAACACCCTTGTGTAGTCACTGTCCAGCCAAGACTTTCATTCGGCAAAACTTTGTCTGAGTGGTCTTATCTGGTGAAGCCCCTCACAACACCATAAACTTATCCTCTGACCTCGCTTCACACATGCCACGGTGTATATGTATATGTGCATGCAACACACACACATATACACACAAACACACACCCCAAAAGAGCTCTGCATGATCCGAGGGATGGCTGGCTCACTGTGCCCAGGCCATAAAGGCTCATCGCACCTGACTACGTGGCTATTCCCCACGGGTGACAGAGTCCCAGGCAGTCCCTGCCCCACTAGCTGTCCTGCCCCAGGCCAGTGCCTCGGTCCTCTTGTTTACAAAGTGTGAGTGCTAGGGCCTGTGTGAGAGAGACACAGCGAAGACCTGGCCCTTCCCTCTTGTGGCCTGCAGGAGGAGGTGGCTGAGGACATGGGGTTGGCCAGGCAGCCTCACTGCCCTGCCCGTCCTCCCCATGAGGACTGTGACGCAGGCGTGGCTTAGGAGTCCTCTGCCCCAGGCTGCTTTTCTGTTGTGTTCTACTCATTTTTGAGGCAGGTCTCACTATACGGTCCAGATGGGCCATGTGATCCTCCCGCCTCTGCCTCTTGGGTGCTGGGGCTGCAGTCATTATAGCTGGCTTCTGCTCTGAGTTTCCGATGTATTTTCAGGGCAGTCTTCCGTGCCAGGCAAGAAACGATACGATAAAGAGGCTAGCTAAACACAAAAGCCCTCCATGCCTCCGCTCCAGTTCAGTGTGTACTTAGCCACTTAGCTGAGCTTGCAGAATGAAGATGCCAAGGGCTTTTTGGCTTTTCAGAAACCGTGGTGAGCAGGCCCCTGGGCTGAGAAGCGAGGACAAGGTCACCCACACTCACATTCAGGGCTTCCATGTCTTTGTGGAACTCTTCTTCCCAGAACTCGGGCAGTTTGGAGAAGATGGAGTTATCCGTCACCTCACCGCCACCTGTGGAATCCAGCCAGTCAGAGAGCAAGTCCTTCGCCTCTTCCAGCAGTACCTGAAGAGGAAGGACACACACCCGTGGCCTGGGATTCATGCAGGCACTCACAGCAAGGTGGTGCCAGCCGGTCAGTGGCCTGAAGTCAAGGCCAAGCCTTGACAACAAGACCCACAAGGAGCTGCTGTCCCCATTGCTGCTGTGAAGCATGACTGTCCTTGCCCTCGCAGGACTAGGCTGCTGTCTTGAGCGTGTGACCTTCAGTAGTATCAGGCTATAGGGTCACACAGGCGGTCTGTGAGCCACTGCGGGAGCAGGAGGCAAAGGGGGTGTGCAGGAAGATGACTCGGCAGAGCACGGACCCCGGTGGATGCTGCTCGCTCTTCCCCACTCTCGAACAGCACAGACTTGCCTCACGGTATGGCCGGGCTTGCAGCTCCTGTCTCCGCACCACGGGGACAGAGTGCAGTGCACACAGATAAGGCAAAAGAGGCAGTCGTGTGTGGTGGCGCATACTTGTAATCCCAGCACTCAGGAGACCAAGGCAGGAGGACTGCTATGAGCTTGAGGCCAGTGTGAGCTACACTGCAAGATTCTTTCTCAAAAACAAATGGGGGGAAAAAGGAAGGAAGGCAGCCCTGGGAGGCAGAGGCTATGTGCAAACTCCCTGGAAAGCAAGCCCAGGGTCTGCTCCAAGTGCAAGACAGAAGTCCCTAGTGGTCCCTGTGTGGGGCACCCTGGTTCTCAGGATCACCAGACCAGGACGAAGGTGCTAGTTAACGCCACCAAGAGCCCAAGGACGAGCAACTGTGAGGGGAGCCGGCAAAGACGGCACAGACGGGCACACCTGAGTCTTCAGGCACATACCAAGGGTCTCGTTCAGACACACAGTCTCACAGGGATGAGCAACAGAACCATGAGACAGTGTCGAAATGGCCCAGGCAGATGTGAGAATACGACCTTGAGATGAAAGTCACTAATTGCTGGAGAAAACCAAAACTCCAGAGGGTAGGCCAGGTGGCTGGAGTCAAGGCGGGGGGAAGAGGGGGAGAGAGAGGAGGGAGGGGGGGGAGAGAGAGGGAGAGAGAAAGAGGAGAGAGAGAGGGGAGGGAGAGAGGAGAGAGAGGGGGGAGAGATAGAAGAGAGAGGGAAGAGAGGGGAGAGAGGAGAGAGAAGAGAGAGAGAGAGGAGAGGAGAGGAGAGAGAGAAGAGGAGAGAGAGGAGAGAGAGAAGAGGAGAGAGAGGAGAGAGAGAAGAGAGAGGAGAGAAAGAGAGGGGAGAGAGAGAAAGACAGAGGAGAGAGAAAGAGGGGAGGGGGGGAGAGAGAGGAGAGAGAGAGGAGAGAGAGAAAGAGGGGAGAGAGGAGAGAGACATAAGGACACTAATCCCAATCACCCAGGGCTCCACGTTTGTGACCTCTTTTAACCTGAATTGCCTCCTTAAAATAAGCGCCCATCTACAGCATGGTGACATGACAGGCTTCAACATCTAAACTGTGGCAAAGTAATTCCAGTAAGACGTGTCTTTGATAAAGATCCTACTTCCTGGGCACTGAGGGACAGAAGAGGGGTTTCATGATGCTACAGTGCCTTCACAGAAAGAGAGACTGAAGGACGGTGGCAGGAATGAGGATGGAGGGGTGGAGACGTGCAGTCCAGTGCCAGGCACTGTTTACAGTGACAGTCTTGAGGACCACCACTCCATTTCCTTTCTGCCATGACTGGGTCCTGCAACTGCTCATGTGTTGATTATCTGCCTTTTCTGGAGTGCCTTCTCAGAAGCAACACACACACACACACACACACACACACACACACGAGAGAGAGAGAGAGAGAGAGAGAGAGAGAGAGAGAGAGAGAGAGAGAGAAGCAGAGATGCAGCAGAGACCACAAGGACAGGAGTAAAGTCAGGCTATTATGTGGAGGGGCAGGTGAGAAGCTGGGTCTCACACCTAACAGGAGTCCACCCAGGGACACACCCACGGACCTCACAGAGCTGAGGTGACAGTTCACAGGTTGCAAGCACAGGCAAATCTGACAGAAGCAAGATGTCCTTCCCAGTGTCTCATGAAACAGCAGGGGCTGTGAGAGGATGTTTAGAAGAAAGACAGGAAACCTGGGGCAATTTATAGGACAGCATACTGTCCCCAGTCACCGCCAACCACAGGGGACTAGCGGCTAAAAGCTCAGAGAAATGTGCCCTTGAGTAGAGTGTCTTACAAGCCACCTCTAAATAAACATGGTGAAATGCACATGCTTCTTGGCAACCCACAGCTGAGCTTCCCGCCAATAGTTTCAACAGGGGACTCTAATCCCCAGGAAAACAGGTGTCATCAAAGCCCGGCCCACTGAAATGTCAAGGCACCAAAGCCAGTGTGTGGCCTGAAGCCTGCACTGTGAGCGTTCCCGTGAGCTCTGGAAAGGCAGGCCACCCAGACTGGCCAGTACCCGGCAGGCCTCTATGGGACATCAGAAACCAGCCTTTAGGATTTATTTTTATTCATGTGCGTGTCTGTGTGTCTGTCATGTATGTGCAGGTGTCTACAGGGGCCAGAAGAGGACGTTAGATCTCCTGGAGCTGGATTATAGGTGGCTGTGAGCCGCCTGCCGTGGGTGTTGGGAACTGAACTCAGGTCCTTGGGAAGAGCAGTTAGTCTTCTCGAAGTGCTCTTAACCACTGGGCCATCACTCAAGCCCAGAAACCTGCACCTAACAGTTCCAGGGGACAGGGTCAGTGAATGCTCAGGAAGTGTTGGTCCAGAGGATGGTGTCAGGACAGTGACTACACCAAAGCTCAAAGAAACCAAGACACCGGGCCTTCTGCCTGCAGGCCAGATTGGGCTATGGTGAGTTTGAGGTTGCTGGGCAGAGATCATTTGGCAGACAGAAAGTGAGAGGCTGGACTGTAACAGCTGCTCTGGAAACACAGGCCATTGGGTGAGGGAAGACAGAGGCAGGCTCAGGGGTTTGGCTTCCCTGAGAACGAGGCCAGGGCCAAGGAGAGGTAGGAACGAGCAGGCCCCTAGGCCTACGCTGGGTGTAAAGCACAGGGGCAGTGGGCCTGGAAATCTCCAGGGCCCAGGCCCACTAAGGTGCCTTCAACATGGCAGGAGATGATGAAATACCTCACAGCAAAAGTCAGCTTAAGCTTGAAAGCCTTAATCAGACAGCCTTCAGGTGTACACACAGGGAAGTGACAAGCACTGGTCACTGGTTCGGACCAGCAGCATACTCAGGGTGCCGCTCCATCTGAACAGCAGGTATGAGACAGAACCAATGGGGAAGCAACAGCCCTAAGTGCTGGAGGAGATGAGGTCACAGGAGATGATGTTCCCCGGACAGAAGTGGCCAGGAAAGCACAGCTCACCAGAGAAGACACAAGCTGAAGGAGCCAACGGGTCAGAACCACGGTGGACCAAGGAGACTCGGTGGACTCCCCTGACAGTCACAGCTCCCAGTGCCCTACCTCCAGGAATCCCACTATGTTCACAGTAAATATTGAGAAAAATATGCCCTGTGCTGCCAGGAGGAGGAAGGCAGGAGAAGCCTCTGAGAGGAAAGCACGTCTGCCTGCCTGGGCTAACAGGCAGACCAAGTGTTGCCAGACTCTACCGCCCAGTCAGTGTGCGGGGTTGGTAGCTGGGGCCTCACGAGGGTGTACGTCATGGGCCCCTTCGATGAACAAGTTAATGTGCACTGTATAGGCTACAGGAGGTCTTGCCCACACATGCCCTCTCTCACCCTTCTGTCCTCTGACACTGGATGATGTGGATCCCTTGACCCTGGATTTCTTAATTTCTGGAACTATACGAAACAGACTTCTATACTTTAAAGCTGGTCCAGGCTCAAGTGTCCTGGTAACACAAAATGGCCCTAAGACACTGCTTTCAGGAGAGCTATTTAGCCAGCACAGAACTCCACAGCATTACCAGAGTAGAGGTCACCTAGAGGAATATCCAACCCTAGCCAGCTCTAGCCTGCCTGTTCTGGATAAGCAGGGAAACTCGAGACCACTTATGAGTGTCTTAGTACAGACAGGGATGTCAGAGTGAGGCAAGGAACAGGGCTGGGTTTGTCCTCAGCAGCCGTGGAAGTAGAGGTAGGGTCTAGCAGGAGGCAGTTAGGTCACCAGGGTATGGCCTTAAAGGGACGTGGAGACCCCAGCCTGTAGGTCAAAAATTACTCATTCCTCCGGAAAGAGTGAGCCTGCTGAGAGTAATCCAGCTAGGGGCGAGACGAGGAGTACCTTGGGAAGAGGGATGGAGAGTGAGAAGACGCAGACAGAGAGTTAGCGGGGAGGGGGGGCCCTGGAGGAGAGGCAACCTGTGCAGACCCCACACAAACCGTGGGCGCAGCGTGCGAAAGCTGATGGACACTATGGGCAGGGCCAGAATGGTGCATGGGTCATAGGAAGCCGTTTTATGGAAGTCACGCTCCCCGCAAATGTCATATAAACTATGCAAAACCTAAGATAGAAATGTGTTATGCCGGTTTTGTCTATCCACGTCAGGACCATAAAACTCTAGTGACTGAAGGCCAGTGTCCCAGAGGACAAGAAGGGAAAAATTTCATGCAACACGACCCCTTCCGGTCTCCCTTTGCTTCCTAATAGCCACAAAATGCACAGTGTCCCCCACCCATTCTCCTGCCACACTGTGCTGCCTCACCATAGCCCCAAAGCAAGGGGGCCAACAACCAAGGGCCAAAATGTGTGAAAATGTGAGCCAAATCAGTCCAACACACTCTTCTAAGTTGAGTCCCACAGAATCTGTCATAGTAATGCAAAACTAACATGTAAAACAACCACCTTTATAAAAACCAATCAATACTGGGTATGGTGGTGATTGCCTTTATTCTCAGCACTCGGGAGGCAGAGACAGGCAGATGCCGGTGAGATTGAGGCCAGTCCAATCTACATAGCAGAGTTCCAGGTTGGCTGGGGTTATGGGAGACCCTGTCTTTAAAAAAAGAAAAAGGAAAATCAATCAATGTGGGCTGGTGAAATAGCTCAGCAGGGAAGGGCACTTGCTGCCAAGCTTGATGACCTGAGTTTAACCCTTAAGACCTACGTGATGGGAGACAAGAACCAGCTCCTGCAAGCTGTCACTCTAACCTCTGTGTGCGCCACGGTCTGTGCTTCTCCTAACCAGAGTAAGTAAAATATAATTTTAAAAACTTACCAGTGAACAACTGGGAACCAGTTACAAAACAGACACCAACAGATGCTTGACAACATACATCACTAAGTGAACTGCAAACTAAAAACCAACACAGGGCTGGAGAGAGCTTGTGGTTAAGGACGCCTCCTGCTCCATGGTACAGACTTGCGTTTGGACCCCAGCACCTACATAGGCAGCTCACAACTGCTGTGACTCCAGATCCAAGGGATCTGGCTCCCTCTTCTGACCTCCGCATACACATATGCCCATACACTCACACATAAATAAAACACCAAAACACCCTTGACACCTCTTAAAAATGGCCAAGTTCTCTGAGGTCTGGGTGAACGTGTGCGACAGAAACACGCGCTGCCAGTGGAGTGCAAAACGGTGTGGACGCTCTGGAAGACAGATGGCAGCTTAAAATAACCGCATGATCTAGCGGCTACACTCCATGGTGTTTACCCCAAAGAGCTGAAAACTTCGGTCCACACAAAACCCACACACTGACATCTGCAGCAGCTCTGCTCTGAACTGCAGACTTGGAAGCAACCCAGACACCCTTCAGGACAGCAAACGGCACAGCCCGACAGTGGAGTGGGGCATGGTAGACTGCTACAGAGAGATGCGTGAAGACACACGGAGGAAATCAGATATGGGTTACTGATGAGAGGTGGTATGGTGCAGATGTCTGTAGATCCCACTCTCTGCTCTGGTTCCTGATGGGGTGAAGGTGCATTTTTTGTCCCAGGGAGGGGATAGTTTCAGGATGGGGTCTGTTGTCAAGAGAAAGACCTTGTGACTGGCTGTGCATGTGTGCATGGACTCCCCACACTGTGGCTCTCCCAGAGGTGGACTGTCCTATGCTGGGTGACAGCACTTTATATTTTCCTGTTTCAAACAGAAGCCAGTCTGGAAAGGTGTGTCCTTTGCATCCAACTCGGTCATACTATGGAGGTATCAGAAAGATCTGTGGCAGCCAGGAGCTCAGGAGAGGAGGGATGAGCAGGTGGAGCACAGACAGCTTCAGATTCTGAGGATAGGTCCAGGCCATTACACACAGGTCCAAACCCATAGGACACACAGCACTGACAACAGTGAACAGAGTCCACATAGGAGACCTAGTGGACCCGTTCTGGCCCTGTGTCCCCTTGGGAAGGAGGGCATCCCTCAGCCAGGGAGGGCTAAATCCCTACTCGGCCACTCATAAAGCCATAAAGCAGCCCACTCATAAAGCAGGACTTCCAAGGGAACTGTAAAACTTCACATCCTTTAAAAGAAAAGTGTGGGCAAATGTCTTTGCATTGGGGGTTAGGCAAATTTCTGAAGACAAAATATTGGTAACTACCAAAGGAGAAAAGGGCGGGAACAGTGGTGTGGGCCTGTGATCCCAGCTCTCAGGAGGCTGAGGGATGGAGATCGTTAAGTTTCAGGCTAGCCTGGACTACAGAGAGTTCAAGGATAACTTGGGAAACAAGAAGGGGGAGAAAAGTGTGCAGAGATGAGAACACTTATAAACAATTCAGAAAAGGCCAGCAAGCCAGGGGAAGGGGCAGGACAGGTCCCCAATCACCACAGACCACAGCAAGCCAGGGGAAGGGGCAGGACAGGTCCCCAATCACCACAGACCAAAGCAAGCCAGGGGAAGGGGCAGGACAGGTCCCCAATCACCACAGACCAAAGCAAGCCAGGGGAAGGGGCAGGACAGGTCCCCAATCACCACAGACCACGGCCATCCAGGGGAAGGGGCAGGACAGGTCCCCAATCACCACAGACCACGGCAAGCCAGGGGAAGGGGCAGGACAGGTCCCCAATCACCACAGGCCACAGCAAGCCAGGGGAAGGGGCAGGACAGGTCCCCAATCACAACAGACCACAAGGTAATGACAGTCTCCAGTCATTAGAGGTATTCAAGCCACAAGTGTAACCTCCTGACACTTGACTGATATAGGGAACCAAGTGGATGCTGGCAGCTTGCCTGGTGAGAGTGTACCAGTAACAGCACATAGATGTAGAGTCACTGTCACGTCGGGAGGAGCTGGGCTGCCACCCTGAGGAGGCCTGCGGGGGCCCAGGGCCTGCATTCAGGAGCTAAGAGGTCTCCTCGGCTAGGTGCCCAGCCTCATGGCAGGAGCTCTGGTGGGCTCAGCCCAAACACTGGACCATGGGGATGGAGCCACAGCTTTGCTTCTGGGAATCTAAGCTGGTGACTGTGCTGGGCTGAGACTGCGGGATCATGGAGCCCTGGGTGCCGAGGTCTTATGGACCTCCCCCAGAGACATGGTTCCTGCATGGCTGGTCTTCCCAGGAGCAGCATGCGCTCTGTCCTGGCTGTAGGTCTGTATGGAGCTGTGTGTGGAATCCAGCAGGATCCTCTGGCCTCTGCCATGCTGGGTGTCCTACCTGTGTCACTGTGACAAACCTCAGACAACTCCATGCCAAGTCGCCTGAGTCCTTCAGAGGGTCCAAGGATGTGTGGGTGGTGTGGGGGCTTTCCAAGAGTCCCCCAAATGTACGCTCTACCACCCAGCAATCCCATCCCCTAGCACAAGGCAGAGAGGGCACCATAGCTCACGGCTCACCACAGATGCTCAACATCACGGCATGGGGAACACAAACAAAGACCCCAAGGGAGACTGCCTCGCACACAGTGGGATGGCTCCCGCCAAAGACGGCTGGCAAGGACAGAGAAACTAACCTCAGCGCACCCAGCACGACGGCAGTCAGGTGCTGTGCCTCGGGATGGCGTGCCTCAGAATGCTAAAAGTGGAACTAAGGTGGGACCCCGCCTGTCTGGTGTATGCAGAAAACTAAAGGTGCTGGACAGACGCTTGCCCACTCAGTCTCAGCAGTGGTCACAGCAGCTGAAAGCAAGAGGCAGATATGCACGGGCTCGCGATAGGTAACCGAAGAGGCCACCGACTACAGAAGACAGTCAGTCTGAAGAATGCCATGTTGTGGCAAGGGGTAAGCCAGCCATGGGGGCACACACCACAGGACTCCATCTTGTCACGGTGCCAGAAGAGTCAGATCCACAGACAGAAGGTAGAATGAGGTGCCAGGGTTCCGGGAAGGGGCTGGGGAGCCAGTGTTTCATGAGGTTTCAGTTTGAGAAGACAGAAAGCTCTTGGTGTGGATGGCGGGATGGCTGCATATCAGCGTGGATGAGTTTGGTCTGAGTCGTGCGCTTACCTGGCTAAGATGGCGGCTTTAAGTTACAAATATCACAATTTCGTGTGTACGCATATGCGTGCACGTAGGCATTTGTGTGTGTTTGAGTCTGGTCATGTAACCCAGCTGACCCTGAACTTTCTGCAATCTTCCTGCCTCCGCCTACCAAGTGCTGGAATCAGAGACACGAGACACCTTGCCTCAGTCCCACATTTAAAGGATGTTAGTGGAACAACTGGGGGAGACTTTGTGGGAAGACATCGGTCACAAGGACACCTGGCTGCAGGCCCAGAGCACAGGGGTGCAGCTTGCCCAAGTCAAGTCAGCTCAGACACACGATGTAGGCACATGGCCCTACAGGCCATCAGGATGGATTGTCATGGATGTCAGGATCTGTCGTGTGGGGACATGGAAGAGCTACAACCGAGCAGCAGAGAAAGTGAGAGAATGGTAACTGAGGTGGGGGCCCGAGGTCAGGGCAAGGTGGGGCGCAGCTGTGTACAGGCAGCTTGGAGCTGGGCCTCTCCACGGCGTCCCTCTGGGTTCTGTTTCACAACCGACTGCCTTGAATTTATGGGTGGCCAGCAGGGGGAGAGAGCAGACGGGAAGAGCCCTTGTGAATGGAGCACCCTGCCTGGAGGACAGGCAGGAGGAGGGCCCTGCGGGAGTCTTTCAGCAGTGGAGAGCTACCTACCAGGGAGCCTCGGCTCCACATCACCTGCTGCTCACCTTACCTCAACTGCTGGCTACACGGGCTCCAATGTCTGCTATCAAGGAATGCAAGGGGGTGGTGGGCGGGCGATGACAGCGGGGGATGGGGGGCCGCAGGACAACAGGGGCAACCCCTCCCACACACCCAGTGCACAATCATGGAATGGACTGGTTGCTCCCCTGCATCCCAGTAGTTCTGGTAGGGGAAACAGAATGGACTCACAGGGAACACCGGGTCCCACTCCAGTGCTATGAGCTCCGTGCCAGGGAAATGGGATTACAGAGCTGGGGGTTCCCTCAGGGCTGGCACGGACTCAGCAGCCCAAGAATGGGGCTATCACTTATGGCAGAGCCACTAAGACACAGGCCTGAGACGTGTGGCTTTAAACGAAGATCAGGACAGCGCAGTGTGCAAATGGGCCAGCCAGGGCAGGAAGAGCTCACCTGTGCGTGGTTGTCCATGGACTCTCCAGAGACACCAGACTGCACGGCTTTCTCGAGAGCCTCTGTAGCGAGCTTTACCGCCTGCTGGATCCGCTCAAGCATCTGTCTCTTGTCAGGATCCGTCGTCTCACTTAACTTCACTGAAAATGGCTGAGCAGAACACATCAGACCCGTCGGACACAGTGTGGAAACACTGCTCCTAAAGCTGACGAGGCAGCAGAGCTGAGGTCCCCGCTGCCCCGGGAGACTCGAGAAGCTGGGCAGGGGGCTAAACTCACTGGGTAACAGTTCTCCCCCCAGGCAAAATGGGTGTAAGGCGGTTCTGGTAAACAAAGCGTGCATCCCTCAAGCCCCGAGAAAGCTAGGGGTCACCTCCACGTCAAAGTGCCCACAGTGCAGCAAACCCCAGCCCGGTCAACATTAACGTCTTCCCAGGGGCGGGGCCAGAAGCAGGTGGTGATTATCATAGGAGTCATTAAGCATGGCTTGTGACTGCAGTTAATAACTTGACTTGTTCTTGTCACACTGTGTAACAAGGATAATTGCACTTAGAACGATGCTTGTTCAGAGTGGAATATGCAACTGTAGAGAACTCCCATCTTCAATGAAAGTTTACAGTCCTGTGAACGGGATGTGGACTTGGAGAGCAACACAGCATCTGCATCTTGGTCAACCACGGACGTCAGACCACTTGTAACTCTGATACTGAGGACTTGGTAGAAACTGTGCCCCCACAAGAGCAGATGTGGTTAGAGCGATGGAGATGGCCCAGAGGCTCACCTAGTGGAGGAGCGCCATCTACCCCAAAGGGCATCCCACAGAACTCTGCTCTCATGAGCCTGGCAGGGGCCACATCTGCTATGGTTTTAACTCCCCTCAGGCAGCTGGCTGGACTACTGCTTGGGAAAATCTACCAGGACAGACACCAGCCTAGCACAGGGACCTACACGGGACCCAAGAGGCACAAGGGGGAGGTGGGGACAAGCAGCAGACATGGGTATGTGTCTAGGGCCCACCTTCAGGGCAGCATGAACGTCCTTCAGGAGCTGGGCTGCGGGGGGCTTCTGCTCCCGATACTGCTCAAACAAGTAGTTCTGTCGCGCCCGCCGGATTATCTGTAGAGGTGAGTGACAGGTCGTGATCAGAGTCCACCCCTCCCTGGGCAGCACATCGCTCTTAGGCGGGCACCTCTGGGTGTGGATACAGGGTGTGGGGACAACCACAAGTCCCAAACAGTGTGGCCCTGGGGCCACCACCACTCTCCATCTCTATCTGAAAAGTGGGGCCCAGGGACAGGTCACTGGGGACCAGCTTCCTTGGCTAGCCAGACAGAGTGGGCCTTCCTCCAGAAGAACTAGGGGTTATGGACGCTTAACCTATAGCCCTGAACATGCAGGTTTTCAGCAGCATCTACACGGCTGTGCAAATGACTGCACTTGCATAAATTATGGCGTCAGTTCATGGAAAGGACTCAGCATTTATTAGGTCAGACTTCAACTCACTTATTCATCCGTCTGTCTATTTACTTACCATCCATCCATCCATCCATCCATCCATCCATCCATCCATCCATCCATCCATCCATGCCAAGCTATCCTACAACTCTCTATGCAGTCCAGACTGGCTTCAAACTCACACTCTTGTCTCAGCCTCTCAAGAGATGCGCCACACTCTACTTTCTTATCTGACAGTCCTGCTCCCTCTCACATCACTGGAGGTCTGAATCCCAGTGTGGGGTGGAGTTTCCTTTACCTTATCATCAATGTCCGTGATGTTCATGCAGTAAAAGACGTCGTACTGGAAGTAATCCCTCAGCACCCTTCTCAAGATGTCAAAGGAGATGTAGGACCTACAGCAGCAGGAAGCACACATCTACAACTGGCACCCGCTGCCCGTGAGCTTGGCATGTGAAGGCTGAGCACCCAACCAAAACCCGAAATACTCTCAAGTCCAAAGCTTTCTAAGCATCCACAGAACACCACAGTGAAATTCCGTTTCATGAATGAAGCTGTCAAGAATTAAAATTATCAGGGTTGGAGAGATGGCTCAGTCATTTAAGAGCAGACTGCTCTTGCAGAGGACCCAGGTTCAATTCCCAGCACCCACATGGTGCTGACAGCCTTCTATAACTCTAGTTCCAGGGAAATCCAACACCCTCTTGTGACCTCCATGGGCATTTCATAACATGGGTGCACTTACACACATGCAGGCCATACACTCATACACATAAAATAAAAATAATAAATATTTTTTATTAAAATTACCTTTAGGCTTATATGTATAAGGTATGCATAAATAAACGAACACCGTGCTTTTGGATGTGGGTTCTCTCTTATGCAAACACAAGTATTTAAAAAATCTGAAAAGTTCTTAAGTCCTCAACAGTTTTGTGCCAGGCACCTGGGCTAAGGGAAACTCAGCCCATCAAAGGAAAGGGCTCCATGACCACTACCCCACCAGCCACCGACTCGCTCAAAGTCATGCTCGTGAGCATGGGGAGGGTCAGGGCCCACTGGGCCTCAGGTCATGGACATTTCACATGGCCATCCATGTGGCAACTCTTTGAGCTGGAGGGTGATGTGGGGACAGGGTTTGAGTGGACCTCAGAATGGCAGCCACAGGCTCTGGGCATATCCCTTACTTCCCGTTTGGCCTGTCTTTGACCCTCTTACGGTACATATGGACTCCTACCTGGCATGTCCCATGTGAGATGCATCATAGACGGTTGGCCCACAGCAGTACCACGTCACCTTTTTCCCGTCTTGAGGTATAAATACATCCTTGTTAAAAATGGAGGAATGACATCACAAGAAACTCAAGAATGTGCACAGGGCGCCGAGGGGCAGCGAACACCACGCCCATGGTTCTGCATGGGCAGGCCACCGAGGCCAGTTACTATGAGACAGGCTCTCGCTATGTCACCCAAGCTAGCTTTAAACTCACAATCCTCCTCTGCCCCCAGTGCTGGGATGACAGGCCTGTGCCACCTCAACCAGCAGGACCACCCTGTTTCGTTGATAAAGTTGTGGTGCTCTGGCAAACTGTCTGGTAGGAACCTGGAGAGGGTGCCCTCAGCCCCTCCTACTGTGATCAGGGTGGTGGTAAAGGGAATTGGTGTTTTCTGCCTGTTGTGGAAGAGCTAACTTAACAGAACTGCAGCTGACAGTAACCACCCTGAGTGCTACCTGCCACAAACAGCCACCTCGGGCATGTGGCATTTTTGCTTTCTTCTCGGGATGAGGAACCTGAGGCTGAGGGCAGCTGTGAGGGTCTGTCCCTCTGGGAGGAGCCTGGCTTAGAGGCCAGAGCACTTCATCACTCTCAGACCTCCCTGGGGATGTCCTCAGTGAGTTCTGTCAGGAAAGGGGACCTGTCCCACGTGCATCTCCCTGCATGCTAAGTGCTGATATTAAAAAAAAAACAAAAAACAAAAAACAAAAACAACAACAAGAAAACCCTGCCAACCCACGGCTGTGGCCCCTTTTGAAGCTCCTGGCACCATGGCCATGTTCTAAGCAGAGTAAACCATGCCAGACCTATCAGGTCAGAAGCCCATGCTGTCTTCCTGGCACATGCTGGGCTCCAGGAACACCTGGCAGCCTGCCATTTTGTCTAATCTGCTCGGCCTGTGACGAGGCCTGCAGCAGCCATGAATTCTGAAAGCCAGAGCTTGGCTCGGCTGTGAATGACCTCGAGCACTCATGGGCTATGCCAGGAGGCCACAGGCAGGCCATGTTTGAAGCCAGCGGGCATGCTTCCCCAAAGCACTGTGTGCAAGGTGTCTGTCCCAGTTTCAGAGCAGGGCTCTGTCCAAGCTGCAGACACCACGGTGCAGGAACAGCAGACAGACCCTGAACCTGGACCAAGAGAATGTGGGAGCCCATGCAGTAAACACCACAGTTTGCTCTGCACAGGCACAGGGCACCACACCCTGCTTACCTTGTTCCGGGTGAGGCTATTGTATAGGCGCAGTTTGCACGGCTCAGTCCCTGCCGGAGGGGTCCACTGAGGCTGCACTCGCCGGCCTTTACCTGTTAGCAAAAGGATAGACACATCACACAGCAGCACCCAGAAATGTGCACAGGTCACCACTTTATCTTGACACCTAGTTTTGACAATGGAACTGTGTTTTTTTTTGAGACAGGTTCTTACTTTATAGCCCAGGCTTTCCTCAAACTCAGCAACATCCTGCCTCAGCATCCCCCACCCCCCCGTGCTGGGGTTAATGGTGTGAGGCTTGTGGTTTTCAATGAAAGAATGTGGAACAACACAAGTTTTCACTGTGTCCATCTCACACAGCGCTGTGTCTTGACAAATTGAACTTCTGACGCTACTGAGGGACACCCACTCGGCATACACCATCTTACTGCTTCACAGACATGTACCCTCCTAGCCATGCAGTGCTGTCCACAGGCTGCGACTATGATGTGGGCAGTGCCATTGCCCTGTGGCTGCCTCCAGCTCTCAGAATCCCTTGCCTGGACAAGGTGAGTTGAGAGACCTTTGTGAGCATAGGCCACCTCCAAGCCTCCAGGTGCAATGGAGGCCAGGGGTCAGGACACGAACCCTGGCCATGGAGGGTCAGGGTAAGAATAGCCTCTAGCCCCTCATCTGTCCTTAAGCAATGAGTGGCCAGCTGCCAGTGTTGGCCCCACAGCTAGCAGACTCTGACCTTGGATACAACCCTGTGAAGCCATCCCTGCGCCCCTCCCCCACCCCAGGCTGGTCCTCATTGGCTTGGCAGGCCCCACAGTCCAGTCCCTTTCTTCTGGGCAGTCCCCTGCTCGCCGCCACATGGCACAGTGCCTTCTTGGCATGTGTCTGGGGCTGTGGGCCCTTTCCCAAAGACAGACCTGCTTCCTGCCCTGAGAAAGGCCGGCCTTAACCTGCATACACAGGAACTCTGGGAGCATGACCATCCCAGAGGCCTAGAGCCCTCACAAGGATGGAGTGTCACACCCCACAATCTCAGTCCAGCACAGCCAACCAGAGCCCCCCGGAAACCACGTGATCACTCAGCCGGCTCCTGTGCAGTGAGCGGCACACCTGTCTTCCCCGTAACCCTGCCCAGGCCACGCCCCATGCTACGCTGCCTATGCAGACCTGTGTGCATACATCTCGTGGACCACCCATGGTAGAGCTAACTCACCTCCATATGATGTTGGCCCCTACCAGGTTCTTCCTCTACTGAGCTGCGGGTGGAAAGTTTTGAGCTAACCTGGTCCTATCCCTGCTCCTAGGCTGTCTGGCAGCTCACCAAGGATACTTGTTTCCTGCCCCCGCTGGCCCCCTCTGACTGCTATGCCCGGCAACTGCTGAGATCCCACTTGAGTCTGTCTACCTGCTGATTCCCGCCTCAAAGACAAGGAGAGAGCTGTCTGGGCAGCAGCCATTCCCAGGGTCCCCCCTTGTCCTGGTCACACTGAACAGGATAGGACGGAGGACACTGGTAATAACAGGCTCAGGGTAAAGGGAAGGGCCACCTGCTGTGTGTGAGGAGCCCAGGTAGACCACAGCAGGCTGCCTGGCCAGAGCCGGGCACCATCACAGGTGGCCAGACTGGAATGGAGGAAAACCCCAAATCTTTCATCAGACACCGACTGCTCTTTGAAGTCAGTAGTCCTGCAGTTCACTCTGAATGCACCCAACCCCTTGCAGGAGAATCTCATTCTGTGACTTGATGGATCTGTCACTGTCCTTCCTCAGGAAGACCCTCACAGATGCCGCTAAACTCCTAAACAGACACTGCTGCCATCGGAGGGGAGAAGGCCAGGGGCTGCCACGCAGAGGGCCGCCACTGCCCCATGGTGGCTGACGGGTTTCGAGGATATCTGGCAGAGACCAGTTCAAATGTGGAAAAGGTCAAGGCTGGGGAGGTTACACAACTCAACTTTCACAACCATTTCCTCCCTAGGCCGAGAGAGTTCAGGCAGGTGAGGTTCTTCCACCCTAGCTGACACCCCACAATTCGCAGCAGTGTCTCCACTGTCCCCCAGGTGTCCTGTCAGCCTGTTTGGGTTTCTTCTGCGACAGCATCACTCCACATACATGAAGAAGCAGCCGCCCTGGCCAGAACCCCCTGCCCAACAGGACAGCTTTGCAGCCCTGAGAGCCGCGCTCTGAAATGGGACACAGGAGGGTCAAAGATGGAAGAGCTGTGGGAAAGCAACGGCCAGCCCCCAGAGCTGGGGACGCAGGCAGCCTGAGCACCAGCGGCAGTCGCCTAGGTGGAGGAAGGACAACACGAACTTGCACCTTTCCTCAGTGAAGGTATGTCTGGTGCCTCCCCGAGAGCTGGGCGAGGCCCTGGGATGTGGACCCCTGTGCTGGACCCGTGGAGAAGACTGTTAAGCAGAGGATCCCAGCTTTCTGTGTCTGGGAGGAGCCTTTGCTGCAGTGGCCTCAGCCTTGACGAGGGAGAGGCTGGTGAAGCCACTCCAAGGGCCAGAGGTGGGCATTTCCGATGCATGAAGCAGGCGTGGTAGGAATGGTAGGCAGGTGCTGGGAGCAGGGATTGAAAGGGGGAAGCGTTCCCACTTGGAGACTGTACTTCAGAGATCCCCAAGACGGTGGGGGTGGGGCGGGGAGCTCTAATTCTCACAAAAATACAGAGGTAAATACAGTCAGTCAATCCAGGGCATGGTGAGGACTCTGGAGTCTGGGCCTGCCCAAAGCCAGCAGAGAGTACAGGCAGCCCAGCTCCAGCCTGCCTTCCCCTACAGCCTGGCTCACGTGTGTGCTGCTCACAGGGCCATCTGACCTCACGGGCACTGTGGCGCTAGAGGATGCAGGACAATCCTCCTAGTGCCACTCAGTCCATCCCTCCGCTGACTGGTGTCTCTAGGAGATGCCTCTGTGGGGAGTGGCTGACTGTGGGAGTGACCTCCTTCCTCACGAGGTCATAAGCAGTGCTCTGCAATTGTACACTCACACACACGGCACAGACGATGGTGTGTCTGCTTGGCTCTTCCCAGGACCTTGAAGGAGGACTGTTCAGATGGCTGCTGAGGCCAGGGTCTGGGCCCCTGATCTCATTCCTGTTGCCATGACTTGGAACTGAGGCACAGTGTGGGGACAATCTGACCCCTGCACCCTTTGGAGAAGGCACCTGACATTACAGATAACACCTGGGTTGCCATGCTGTACACAAAGGGGACCACCTAAGTATCCAGGCTTCCAGGATAGACTGGATGAAGGTCTTTACTGGGGATTAGCCAGAAAAACCAAGACACAGCCCAACCCCAGGAGACTCATAGTTCCCTCTGAAAGCTCCAAGTTCTGCACCCCAAGTCTGCAAAGCCCTGAGGAGACTGTGATGGGGGAGTGTGTCACAGCCATGGGGTGGGGAGGGCTGTGGCTCAAGGGCCTCGGGCAATTTTGGGAGGGAGCACCCTCGTACTGCCAGAGTAAAGCAACAAACCAGAATAACGAACTAAACGGAGTCAAAGCCAGGCAGAGCACTGGCTGAACCCCAAGACCAGCCTGTAGCGGCATGCCGAGGTGGCCCATGGTCACATGGCTCTGAGCCCTTTGCTGCACCAATGACAGAAACCTTTGCTCTCTAAGAACCAACTCCCAGGACGTGATCTGACCCTAGCCCTCACCCAGTGAGCATGGCTTCTGCCCCACCAGGACACCTGGCTGAAACATGGCAGTGAGTCCCCAGCAGGATGTCCACTGTCCTGTAGCACAAGTGCCCACAGCACAATGGAGAAAGCCCTTGGCCTTGGAGCCGAGGGTCACTGTGGCTACTCACTTGCTTGGGGCCCGCAGGGCTCGCCTCTGCCAGGGGGGCCACCCAGGAGCGCTTCTATGTGCCTGAACCATCGAGCCACGTGGAAGAGCCTCGAGTCAGCCGGAGGGGCCAAGAGCTGCCTGAAAACATCCACGTCTGCCTGGGACAGGGAGTACCCCTGGACATAGCTACGCGTGCTGAGGTGCTGGTCCAGGGCCTGGGCCCTGGCTGCCTCGTCACTAATGCTCAGAATGGACCTGTAGTCAGCAGCTGCAAAGACAGAGGGCACAGGATGTCAGGCCAGAGGGCAAAAGACAGTGCAGGCAGGCAGGCAGGCAGAGGGCACAAGCCATCGGGCAGGTGGATGGAGGAGATGCGATGGCAGGCAGGCAGAGGGCCTGGGATGCCAGAGAGCAAGAGGGCATAGGATGCCAGGCATGCATGCACAAAGCTGTCCAGAGGTGAGAGCCAGAGAGATGCTTAGTTAGGGCATGTTCTCAGAATGCACACATCCAGAGTAGGACCACGGGGTGGGCGTGCAGACGAGTGGCAGGAGGGCAGTGTGACGTACAGCAGGTCAGGGTTCCTCCCGAGGTGATGGAAATGTTTCAGAACTACACAGAACATACACATGGGTGGTCTGCACAACGACACGAGTACACGAAATCCAGTGACCCGTGTGCTCTAGAATGGGTAATTTAGGTGTAGCTCAGTGAGAAAGCATCCAGCCAGCAAGTGTGAGGCCCTGGGTTTGGTCCCCAGCACTGCAGAAATACATAAATAATGACATAGCTAATTTTATGCTATGTGGATTTCTCTTCAATGTATAAGAATTAAAAAACAAAACAAAACAAAAAAAGCCAGAAAACCCCAAACTCACTCTGGGCAGCTCCACAGCTTTCTCCAGGTGCTGAGATGGGATGGATTGGGTGAGAAGAGACGGGGTGGTCACATGGGAACCTCAGAGCTCTCAGCACAAGGCCATGCACAAGCCCACAGACCCCGAGTGAGCGTGGTTTCCAGCAGCCTGACTGCCCCAGCACACGGGAGAACGCTCGGGGCTGCCAGAAAGAGCTGTTCTAAGGACACCTGACCAGGGCTGGCCCCTCATCAGGGACCCTGCTACAAAAGGCCCCCAGCTATGGCGACCACTGACCACAGGCCTAACTGTGTCTAGGATCCCAGGGCAAGGTCCTACACAGGCTGTCAGGAGAACAGAATCCCAGGCTCCTACTGCGCTGGCAGACCCTGCAGCTGACGGCCTCATGGCCAGCCCTGCGTCTTTTCCCACCTGAGCCTCTAGATGGGAACAGGACGGAGCCCTCAGCTCTTTCCCTGTGGTGGCAGTCAGTGACAAAGACGCTCTGCTGCTTTGACAAGTGTCTGGCCGTGTGTGTCTCTGCAAGGGGAGGTTAGGGTGGGACGCTGCTCCAGACTCAGCCACCCTAAGCAGAGGCGAAGCAAGCGGGGAGCACCAGGCTCTGTTGATAAAGCCTGGCTCCAGCCTGTGAATGTGAGCTGTACCCATGCCTGGCTGCCCCAGGGATTTCATCTGCTGAGGGAGCTACAAGGCAGTTCAGTGGGCTTTCATGTGCTCAGTTACCTCTTGCAGTACCACATGCACCCGCCAAACCCCAGGTCACCTGGGTCACTCACTGCCAGGAGATGATGACCCACAAGCAGCCCTGCATGCTCTCTGAGCCCACCCCTCCCTCCCTCCC